CTAATTATGTTGGGCGAAAGACCATTTTGAATAGAGATCAAATTTAGCGCTCATTTCGAATATGAAAATATTTCAGTCTTACAATATTTTCAGTACAACGCGCAATTACAAATCAAAAGTAACATTATTTCATTAATATATTGAAACCATTAGACAAACCAAGAATTGAAACAAAGCCTGACTCTAAAGATGACGAATGCGAGATTCACGCACCGCACGAAAAGGCAGGGAGCTGGTTTGAACCAAGATAACGACAAATTAACTTGGGTTTACGGCCCTGAAGCTACATAATTTGGCTTGAATAAATGAACAGTTTACGTAAGAGGATTTTAGATTAAAGAATGATATTGGGAAACTTCAAGCTATTCATAAATAGTTTTTTTCCTCTTGAATAAAGAGAAAAGTATCGCAAATCATACACTTTATGGTAATTCCAGCATCAACAATGAGAAGAGCTACAAGTCAGGACGCCGAAGTCGATAGCAATTCCAAGTTCAAGTTGCTGCCATCTGCTCTAACAGCAAGTCTCCACTAGCTTCCGGTTGCTGGCGATGCTTCGGTGCATATGTTGCCACTGACATCGAAATGGGAACTTCATTGCAATTAAACACTCAATTTGCAGTCCCTCTCTTGAAATGTTTATAAATGAAATTTGGGCAAAGGTAAAGTTTGTGCGCCGCTGGGCGACATTCGGCGATGAAAGGGAGAGGGACAGTGAGCTGAAAGGCTAGAGAGAAGACAACGTCAACAGAAGTCGCAAAAAACAAATAGTAAAAGCAAAATGGCGCCCCGTAACTTTGGTTGTTGTGGAGTCGGTAGTTTCAGGTGAAGACGCCGACGCCGACGCTGACGCTGCGCATTTGCTGTAGATTATTACAAAAGTTTAAATACACAGACAGATAGAGCAACGGCAAGTTGTGCTTATATACAGCCCTCTGGTGTTTTGAGTTTTGCCTGTCGACGACCAGAGCCAGCAGGACACGGCAGGTGAATCCAAGCTCGGCCCAAACTCTCAAGAAGCTGAACTGAGTTCGAGTTCGAGTTCGAGGCTTTCAAATAGCCTTGGCAGTTACAATTGCACATGGCAGAGTTTTCAAAGAGTTCTTGGCCTAGCGTATGTCGCCAGACCGTAAATTGTTTGGTTAGAAGTTTAGAAATGCCAAAAAGTGGGCAATAGCCGCCGCTTAAGGGGGATCGCAGGGATAATTGTACTTGGTATCGCTTCTGACATTGAGCAATATAACTAATTGGCTGAGATAAGATAGCTTTTTTTGTGACTTAAGCTCGGGATATCGAGGTTAACAAATTGATTAGGTTTTCACCATTTAATATACTATATCATATATACAATCCCTACTGAATTATATTTATTATATTATATTGTTTTTTTTTTTTTATGTCCAATCGGTAAAAAAATTAATTGCATACATATGTTTAAGGAGACCAAATATTTTGAATAACTTAAGAACAAAAAAGACGCACATTTATTTTAGAATTCTACAAAAGTACACAAACTCGTACAAAACGGAAGTGCTAATTGCTATGTCAGGATATAAGTTGAAATTCTGGCAATTTCCTTGCGGGAGTTTCGAATTTTCCGCCACCTTTTAGCAGCTGGCATGTGTGTGTGTGTGCGCGTGTGTGTGCTTTAAGCCTTTTGTGTGTCTTTAAGCGATGTCTGGTTATTTCCGGACGTCTGTTGCTGGCGTTTACTTTTAGTTTTAATTTGACAGCCCGCATTATTTTTGCTATGATTTGCACTTCTTAATTAATTATTTTTCGCTTTCGTAACTAAATGCGGATCGGAGCTGTGTCAGCAAATAAGAGGCACACCCACATGTGCGCGCACACACACCCACACATAGCAGCACACACATGTGGAAGGCAACCCTTCGACCTCAGAGCCTGGCAGAGCACAGGCAAAACAAACTTCGACAAAAACTTTCTACGTTTTTTTGTTTTGTGGACGCTTGGCCTGGCGAAAGCAAATGTGGGGATTGGTATTGGGCTGTGAATAAGAAAATTTCTGAGAGATTCGCAAATGCAATTGGCACATTTCTTGGCACCTTTGACACATGCGGCGTATGCGTAATATGCTAAGGCAAAATCAATCCCCCAATGAAATGGCTTAGCGTGCAAATTCCCAGCTTATGTCAATTGACAGGCAACGATGCAGACATGCCCAATACTTCTTTGTTTCATTTAAATAAGGCGTGTCTTTTTTCTAAAATATGTGTACGTATACCGCCTGGCTGATAGTTAAGCCCTACCCTGCCCTGCCCTGTCGCTCTGCTGCCAATCGACCCCGACGGGCGTCTGTTCCATGTCAATTGCATTTAGCTGGCTATGCAAATTGGCAAAGCGTTTGCCATTTTCTGTTCGACGGCTGCTCATTATTTAGACGCTTAACGCGCGTCGCTTTGCATTAGGTGATTAAGTTTTGCAGCGCCACCTGGCGGTCGGAGTTGAAATTGCGCTTTGTGCGTTTTCTGTCGTCGTTGCCGTTGTCATTGTCGTTTGACATTTTGTGGAGCAATGTGGTTTTTGTTTTCGCATCCAATTGTCGGCTCTTCGCTATCCACGCATTCAATTTTTCCCTTTTTTCCACGCTGCGAAATCCTTGACTGCGGGTGCCAAATGTCAAAGTGGTTGCAACACTCACACATGCGCACACATATAGCCAATACCAATGCTACCACACACATACAGGTGTACGTTGTTGTCATCTCCATCGCATCCATGCCCTGGCATGTAAATTGCTCTGGCAAATAAATCACGTAGTCGGTGTACCAAGCGCCGTGCATGGCTTGTTGTCGTCATATCAAAAGCCAGAAGGCTTCTGGATTTTCGCGTTGTTGTAGCTGAAAGGCTGAAAGCACTGTGCCGCATTTTTCTCCATCTCTTTTCAAAGAAGACTCCCCCCAAATCGAGTGTGGAAGCCGCTAAACAACCGCAACGAAGCTGTCATAGTTGCCGTTCGCTTGTCTGGTAAATCTTGAGCTTTGAATCGTTTGTCTATACCCAAAGTGTTTGGTATGGAAATATTCACTTTTTTTCATTATGATCTAAGCATTTGAAGTGCCATGAAAAATTGAGGAAAATGTGTGCAGTTTGCATAAGAGAAATTTCAAATGCAAACATCTTCAACTCAAAAACTGATGCGATCGTGACGTGAGATGGTTATTTGTTTTTATATATATTTTTATTTAGAGAAATGTGTCCACGATGTTAAAATCTCTTATTTTTTCAAACAGTTCTACCATATCCTATGTAATTTATTTTAATTTACATATTGTAAACAAAACAAATTATCATAGCATAAAAATATACAACAAAAACAAATGCAAAAATTCCAGAAAAATAAACAAAATGAACACACAATTTTAAAATGAAATAAATTGCCACAAAATTTAGAATTGATTAGCAGTGCCAACCAAAATTCGTGTCCTTTGAAAGTCTTTCTAATTACACGTAAATGCGCATTAAAAGTTTGCACAAGAACTTGGATGTGAAATCAATTACCAAAAGGAAAAACTCGACAGCGCAATGATGCAACAAATTAAAACGCATGTGAGGAAAGCTAATGAAATGTTCTATGGCAAAAACGGCCCACCAACATGCCACATAGGCGGACGAAGGATGAGGCGGGTTGATTGTCAGATGGGGTAACTGAACTTCATAGAATTTTTGTGTCGGTACTTGCCAGGGGCGGAAATTACCAAAAATGTGCCGAGCGCAACAAAAACAACAATAAAGTGAGCGAAAATTAAGGCAAGTGGAGTTAAAAGTTAAGCCAACAAATGAAGATGAGGCTGGAATAGGATGAAAAGATCTATATATATATGTGGGTCTGTCCTATGGCCTATCACACACACACACACATACCCACACACTTGTGTGTACTTGTGTGTACACCCGGGCACAGACAAACTGAACCCGAACTCTTGCGCAATTTTACGCAACAACAAAAAGTTTAATTGAGGATAAACTTTGCTGCGTTTGCGCTGCTGTTGAAAATCAACTGCGGGCTGGATAGAAAAGACGTGGGCGTGGCATATGTGTACCGCTTATCTTTGCTGTTTAAGTTTTCGCTTTCTACTTTGCATTACAGCCTGACTCAGTTTTCTATTAGTTTTCAACCCCAGTCCCTGTAACGAGCAAAACTTTAAGGTTTCATTTTCCTGCACACGTACGAGAAAACAAAAAAGAAATCGAATGAAATTATTTGGACATTTATTGGTCGTTGGGGGCACGCTTTCTTCGCCTTTGTTTGCCAAAGCCAAATGAATGGCAAATATGGATGAAAAGCGCATGAGAAACGACCTGAACCTGAACTCTAGCTGGCAGTGCAGTCCAGTTTCGTGCAGCATCTGACCCCACACACACACAAGAACACTCACATGTACATGTGCCATAATTCGTTTTAGATGGACGAAGCACAATGAAACACAAATGACCCGAATAAAGGCGATTGACTCCCCAACCACTTTTGGCTTCTACAGAGTCTTTAAGATGATTAAGAAAACAAATTTAAAGCTTAAAATAGGGCATGCAATTGTTTTGAAATAGTAGCAATGCTCTCTTTTTGTAATACGCTGATATTTAAGTTGATAAATATGAAGTAAATATCTAAATTTAACTCTTATAAAGTTGTTATTAGCTAGTGAATATTTTACTTAAGCCTGAAATAAAACCTAATGTATTTCGAATTTATACGAACATTTAAATACTTATTGGAATTATGAAATTCCAATCAGAGGATAGATAATTTTAAATCAGCCGAACATCCCATTGTATGCAAAGAGAGTTCAAATTAGACATACATATGTTTAACATATGCCACACCCAACATCAATATGGCAACACTGCGACTCTTTCAATTAGTTTGTAGTGTTGCAAAATCCATAAGAAAACTGTTATACCTAGCGTTAGAGCACGAAACCGACCAATACTACGGTCTAGACAAACAATGGAAGCACTTTTTCTTTATATACCAAGTTGAACGATTTTTATTAAAGGCTATCAGTCATTGAACACACACGTTGTTAATCCTTGCTGAGCTTTGGCTCTTACCACAATGCGGGAGCTGCGGCATAGCTCAACGGAGCTGGTCCATAAGCCAACGGGGAAGAGTACTTAGCAAAGACTGGTGTCGCATAGGGATGGGCAAAGGCAGCCGCATAGGGATGGGCAATGGGTGCAGCAGCCAATGGAGCTGCGACTGGTCCAACAGCTTTAATGAAGGGTGCAGCGAAGGGAGTGGCCAAAGGTGCCGCAACGGGTGCCACATGTCTGAAAACTGGAGCAGCCAGAGGAGCAGCAACTGGTGCCACAGCCCTGATAACTGGTGCTGGAACGGGTGCGACTGGAACTGGAGCAATCACGGGCGCAGTTGCGATGCCATTGAATGTTCTGGCCACAACCTGGCTACTGGCAGCAGTCACCACCGGAGCGGGTGCAGCAAAGATGGCAGCTGGAGCAGCCAGCGGTGCGTGCAGAAATCCCGGCTTGCCGGCAACGCAGGCAATCAAAGCGCAAATGACAACGGCCTGTGAAAGTTTGGACAAGGATTAGTTAGTCCCCATTGATACACCAATTACCAAAGGCTACTAACGTATTTGAACATCTTGATTTTTGATTTTTTTTGTTTTATGACTTGCTGCTGGTAGCTGCTTGAAAGCGAATTGCTAACTGATGTCAAACTGAGGCCATGCAGCGCATATTTATACCCAAGAAGCCGACGCCTCGCTGGAGCTACTTAAAATGCGCCCTGCGTAGAACACGTTGGCCATTATAAGCGGCGGCTTTATAATTGGTAGTTGAGTTGCTTTTGGTTCCAGCAATGTCTTTGAGGGTCTCCGGAGCTGCCCACAAAACCCGAAGGGCAGCCAATTTCGATTGCCGCAGCTCATTATACAAAATTTGTATGAAAATCAAAGTGCACGAAATGTGAAATTTCAATAGACAAACACATACAATGTATATAAATATGTATCTGGAAATTATTGAATGTACCTATAATTGACTTTTACGGATCATAGTCAATGTTCAGTTTTCAGATATTCCACAGTCCAATAGGAAATATAAGAATATAACATTTAAAGAAGATAGCAACAACATTATATGTATATTGTAGCCAAATGTATGCCTGTATCGAGACGAACAAACAAAAAAAAAGAATCATTCAAATCGATCGAGCCCTTCTGGAGTTTTAAATAAGTACAAATATTCACTAACGAAGAATGAAATGACGTCACAATCTACGTGGCTCACGAGCCGATTAACAGTCTTGTGTGTAATCTTTTTATTTTAATACCATGAAATACCATCTGCACAGAAATAACATCAATGCCAAAACGCATTGTTGTTGTTTTTTTTAGCACTGCAACCGACGGCCAACCGACAAAAGAGAACGCGAAATAAAACAGTTCGAATTTTTGTCACATTTTTTTTTTCATATCATTTCCTATGAAACGACGTTCTAAGCTAAGCATCGCCAGACGATCAAAAAGAAGACGAAAACAAAACCGTTTACTAAACGCACCGTTGCTTTGCAGTGTTTTGTTCTTGCATTCTGTGGTAAATGGAAAATGACAAGTGTGGGTGTTTCACATGCACAAAGCGAGCTTACGTATTAAATGCAAAGAATTAAAAGGGAGAATACTTCTCTACTCTTTTGCAGGTCATATTATATTCTACATACAAACATACACACATACATATGTTACCATGACTACGTATGAAATAAAATGCGAATATTAATTAATGTTATGCATGATATATGTATAAACTTACCGCCTTTAAACCATTCTGTATTCCTGATTATATCCATGAACAAATTTCTGGCTTTAACCTTTGCATGCGAAATTCTCGAATTCCACGCGTAATTTGCAATCTATGTAGCAGGTAGTGAAAGCAATATTTCAACTACATATACAATTTCACACAAACACAATTCCTTGCGCTCCAGGCAGTGAATCGACCTGGTAGGGCTCCGATCAGTTCAGAGAAATAGACGAATAAAACATTTTTAGCACGTACGACGGCCGAAAAATTATTTTTCACACACGGGTCAGCCAACACACGCACATACACACACACACGCGCGAATGGACAATCGAGCGCCCACACAATGGACACTTTTGCTTATTGGCACAAATAGTATTTCATTCGTATTTTATACATTTAATTCAGGTCAAGGCTGCTGCAACACGAGTTTTACTTTAAGCTTTAGCGAACTTCTGTTAAAACGCAATAAATAATTTAATTACACGCACTGAACATCACGCGACATTGCATTTTCAACGAATGAGGGAGGAAGAGGAAAAGAAAGAGCCAAATATTAGCGATGGTAGTGGGGTAGGTCTTATTGCTTTAAAACTATTTTAAGTAAAAATTAATTTCATATGGCAACCTGAGCTCATGAAGATGAGAAAGTAGGGCAAAAGTAGGTAAATGCAAAGGTAATAAGGTAAAAAGATTAAAGCCTAGCAATATATGAATTGTAAAGCTTTCTCCTGCAAGGCTTCTGGTTCTATCGATCGCTCTATCGATACTATCTATTCGATAGATACTGAGACACTTTTTCTTAAGATGTGCAAGGGCTGGCAACCTTTAACCCAGATTGTGTTTGCACCCTGTTGAGCTTTAAATTAAAAAAACAAGTAATATTAATCAACGCACTTACTACAGATACAGTTAGGCCAACGGTAGCTGCTTTGGTTTACTTTGACTGCGCGCCCTGCATGCTAATTTGGACTTTTTTTTTATTTTCTTATATTGTCGTTTGTCTATTGCGCGTCCGTCACGTGCGTTTTGATTTGCTATAAAAATAAATCGAAAACGAAGACATGTCATCAAACACAGTTTCGCTCTTCAAGTGGCAACTCCAAAAAGCAATCAGAAATCCCTCAACATGTTCAAATACGTAAGTTGTCGCCTTTTTATTGCACCCTACCGCTTGCTCCTGGTACTCACATCTTCTTTTCTGTTCAGACCGTTGTCCTCTGCGCCCTGGTCGCCTGCGCCGCCGCTAAGCCAGGACTACTGCACACACCGCTGGGTGCTCCAGCTGCCATCATTGCTGCACCCGCTCCTGTGGTAACAGCCACCAGCAGCCAAGTGGTAGCCAGGAACTTTAATGGCATCGCTACTGCGCCCGTGATTGCAGCTGCTCCAGTTGCCGCTCCAATCGTCAGAGCTGTGACACCATTTGCTGCTCCTCTGGCGGCACCGACTTTTGCTCATCCCCTGGCTGCGCCGCTCATTGCCAAGTACGCGGCTGCTCCTCTGGCGGCACCGACTTTTGCTCATCCCCTGGCTGCGCCGCTTATTGCCAAGTACGCGGCTGCTCCTTTAGCAGCGCCAATTGCTGCTCCTCTGGCTTCCCCAGCCTTCGCCAGGTACGCAGCTCCGTTTGCCTACAACGCACCGCTGAGCTACGCTGCGGCTCCTGCACCACTTTTCATTTAAATAAGAAGACACTGTGATCCTATGAATAAATTTAAAAAGTACTTGACTAAATTTAAAAAAAAAAAGCACATGTTTTAAAGAAACTAGAAATCTGTATAACTTTAAGGCCCGATTGGCTAGAAGGATTAGCTACTCTCAATCACTAGAAAGCACAATTTTCCAAATATTGTTAGGCATATCTGAATGATAGATTATTTCAAATTTATACACTTATAGATTCTAATTAGAATGGTGTATCGTTAGATTTACCTAATAGAAAGGTAATCTTAATTATATATTTCATCATTCTATTTAATTTTAGATACCTCGCATGGCAACTAAAAACCATCCAAATAATATAACTGCAAAGGTGTTTAACCCTTGGTACCTCAGTTATGTTATCGTATACCTCTTGTTAAATTATATATTAAGTGCCTCACCGTTTTTAGCTGTGCATTTCCCTATGACCTTGACATAAATACCAGTTTTTTCCAAAACAAACTCAAAGCTGGCTTTGGACACTTTAATGTCACGCGTCGTGCAACAAAAACAACATTAGCTGCCGGCGATTGACAATAATTTTAACGCGACCTACGTGACTTGCACAGCAATTGGGCCCCGGTCGTTGCCGTTGCCGAGCTTTTGTTTATATCCGAACCTTAAGTCCAATTAGCTCAACCAGAGGGCACCCAGAGATAAGTAAGGCCTAAGTTCCTTTAATGATTTTCATATTTATATTATTTTTTCTCCATATTCCAAAACCAGAACTGAATCCCAGGAGCAGCAGCAACCACTGGTTCAGGAGCGATGACATTATAGTCACAAGCAAACAGCTGGCTACCGGTTGCAGTCGCACATGGGGCAGGAGTTACGACAGCTGCATCCGGAGTAGCAGCCACAGTTGGAGCAGTATAAGTTAACTGCCCCTCAAAAAGACCAGTCCCAGCTGCAGCACAGACGAAGATGGCAAAGATGACAACGGTCTGTGGATAAATATTAATTAGTATACGATTATCAGAGCATTGAAAGAACTAATCAAAATACGCATTTTAACACTCTTATTAAGATTGAGTTCTGCAAATTGTACATGCTCGAAAGGCTGCAAGGCGGTTCAAACCCGGAACTGCACCATGAACCGAATCTTAAATCGGATTTGTTTTTAATTTTTTTACACTAGCACCATATTTGAGCTTTGACAAAACTATAAAAATTAACTAATTTCAATAAAACAAAATTTTAAAAATTAATGAAAATAAGTAAATATTACAAACTAGATGTTATCTCAAAAGTTGTTTAAATTCTAGAGACTTGGGTTTGTGGATGTGGAAATCAAGCTTCGTGAACCGAACCTTGAAAAGAATGGTTCGTGAATCAAACCATGAAAACTGATACTGTTTGGAAGGCTGTGAGTGAGTTCAAACCCGGAAATGCAATTGTTAAACTATGGAGTTTGTGAATATGGAAAGCAAGGTTCGTTAAACGATCAACCACAATATCTTATTGAGTTTGCAGCCATGCAAATATGTCTACAGCCTGAATATCCAATCTAGAGTGTGCCATTAAATAATTTTTGCTGTGCGATTCCTACTCAAAGAGGACTACGAAATTGACCTTATGCACTTTTAAAATTTGTGGGCCCCACGACACGTTATACATTAAACAACGGGAAACAACAAAATGTTAACTGTCTTCACAAACTGACTTCGCATTTCAATGAACCACATGACTCACAACTGGATGAAGACTATTTTGGGTTATAAATACGGACTGCCCATTTAGGTTGGACATCACACAGTTTGCAGCTTACCCAACGAGCAAAACAGTCCACAAATCTTCAACATGTTCAAATACGTAAGTTTCCGAAGGAAGTTCCCTGCGAAACTCCAGCTCTGATTCAACTGAATTTATTTACAGACCATTGTTATCCTCGCAATCATCGCCTGTGCTTCTGCCAAGCCGGGTTTTCTCCTGGGCGAGCAGTTGGCTTATAGCGCTCCAATTGTAGCTGCTGCTCCTGCTGCAGTGGTTGCAGCTCCAGCTCCTTATGTGACTGCTACCAGCAGCCAGGTGTTTGCCCGCAACTACAATGGCATCGCCACTGCACCAGTGATTGCTGCTGCTCCAGTCTTCGCCAAGTATGCCGCCGCTCCGCTCGCAGCTCCTTTCGCCTACAGCTCGCCGCTGACTTACGCAGCCGCTGCTTCGCCTGTGCTGTTGTAAGAATATCGCGTTTGAATTAAAAATATAAAATAAAAATTTAAATAATTAAATAAATTACTGTTTTATGTGGGAATCGGTAGCTATGCAGGGCATCTCAAATCAATTTATAGCCACAAAGCAAAATCAAAGGCCGCGAACAAACTTCAATTGGGTATTTGAATGGAGCTCACGTAGGCAGCGTAAAATTATTGTCAACAGCGGTAAACGGTAAATGGAGCTAAATAGTTTGTTTTAAGTTTTTATTTTTTGTTGCTTAAAATATGTAACTATGCAACTGTGTCAAGGTTGCGGCGGCCATCTTACCAAGGTTTTGCAGTTGAATGAACTTTGAAACTAAGTCTAGATCGTAAAACCACGTGAAGCTAAAGCAATGTGCACAGCAAGGCCAAAGAAATTTGTAAATTATATTTATAGTTTTAGATCGTTTTTTTTTCTCTATAAGACTTGTACAAGACAGTTGCAAACAACGGTTAGCTACGATGATTTAATCGAAGAAACTTCTCTGTAGAAATCGAAACAAAGTTGTATTTCGATATGAGAACTGAAATTGAAAATGTGGCCAATAACAATGCATTTTCTCAATTGTGAAAGTACTGCCAATTTCTTAATTTATTTGGATTTTTCTAGCACTTCGTAAAAAGCGTTGCCAGATGTGAAAATTATATTCAACAGAGCTGCCCCTTTCTACTAAACAGAGATTGTTAAATATTCTACTTAATAACTTTAATTATGTTACTATGATTAGATTTTAATAATTATTTTTTGACACACTTTAAGAAAAAGAAAGACAAGATGACCATGCTAATTTTAGCATGCATTTACTTGTTTGTAGAAAAAAATAACAAAAGATAGTCAAGTCAAGGCTGCAAATCCTAATTGAACTGAAAACACATTCAGCCGGAATTTCTACCTTTGGATTAGCACTTAACCAAATTCATTGCCCATTATAATAGCCAACCAATTTACTTACTTCGATTTGTGACAAACTGAAAAGCTCCATTGAAGATTCAAGGAAGTTTGGCACGCCAGGAGTCGAAGTCGATCTAGGCAAACTTTGAAGCGGCGTAATCCAAATAGTTTATGATACAAATTTATAGCTGGTTCGTTTAGTTAAAGTTTTTAATGATCACAGTTGCTTGGATTAAAACAATAGAGGTGCTGGCGCAGCAGCATAGTTCAGTGGAGCGCTATACGCGAGAGGAGCGGCAAAGGGAGCAGCCGCGTATCTGGCGATGAATGGAGCAGCAACTGGTGCAGCCAAAGGCGCACTGACATACTTGGCCACCACTGGAGCAGCGACGGGAGCAGCAGCAACCAATGGAGCAGTGGCGATCCCATTATAGTTACGAGCAAACACCTGACTGCTGGTAGCAGTCACATATGGGGCAGGAGCTGCGACAACTGCACCTGGAGCAGCAGCCACAATTGGAGCAGTATAAGCGAACTGCTCGCCAAGAAGTCCAGGCTTGGCTGCGGCGCAGGCGATGATGGCAAAGATGACAACGGTCTGTGGACATGAGTTAATTAGGATAAGGGCAAGGCAAAAATAAATAAAAGAACTATTTAACTTACGAATTTGAACATGTTGCTAAGTTTTAGTTTAGTTCTTAGGGTTAATATTTGCAGCTTGAAAGCTTAAACTCTTTTGATGCCATTTCATTGTTTTGGCTGTGGTATTTATACCAAAAGAGGACTGAGAAATTGAACTCGCTTTTCAAATTTGTGGACCCCACGACGCGTTATACATTAAACAGCGGGAAACATAACAAAACGAGCCATGCGCAGTGATTATAGCTACAAAATGTTAACTGTGTTCAGAAACTGACTTCGCATTTCAATGAACCACATGACTCACAACTGGATGAAGACTATTTTGGGGTATAAATACGGACTGCCCATTTAGGTTGGACATCAGACAGTTTGCAGCCCACAAATCTTCAACATGTTCAAATACGTAAGTTTCAGAGGAAAAGTTCCCTGAGAAAAGAAGTGCATGTCTGACGGCATTTATTTACAGACCATTGTTATCCTCGCAATCATCGCCTGTGCTTCTGCCAAGCCTGGTCTTCTCCTGGGCGAGCAGTTGGCTTATAGTGCGCCAGTTGTGGCTGCTGCTCCAACTGCAGTAGTTGCAGCAGCAGCTCCTTACGTGACTGCCAGCAGTAGCCAGGTGTTTGCCCGCAACTACAATGGCATTGCCGCTGCTCCAGTGCTTGCGGCTGCACCAATCGCTGCTCCAGTCGTCGCCAGGTATGCAGCTACTCCCTTGGCTGCGCCTCTGGCCTACAGCACTCCCTTTGCCTACAGCTCACCTCGATTCGCTCCAGTTCTTTTCTAATAAAATCTTAGCCGCTTAATAAGTATTTGTTTTTATTGATTGAATTGTAAGCCTAGCTTACGCACCTTTAATTAATTTGGGATTGAAATCACGTACGCAGGCGAAAATAACTGTCCACAACGTAGACTAAATGGTTTGTGTCCAATTTTTTTTCATTGTAATTTTTATGTGTGCCAATGTCTTGAGGGCTGGTTCAGCAGGGTCGACGCAGTTTACTGAACTTTCAAGCGTGGTAATTGTGATTCACAGTAAAGTACTATATTAAATATTCAAGCAACTTATATACATATATATAATTAAAAAAAATTTAATTTTGTTATGAGCTGGAGAAAGTTGTTCAGCTAACTGAAACAAATAAATTGAGAGAATAAACTTAAACTCAATAAGAGTTACCATTGGGCTGAAAAAGTGTCAACCCTGGCGCTGTCAAAGTAACATTTTTATATCTGGCAATGCTCTGGAAGTGCGAAAAGTTTTCATTATAACAGCAGGAAATGGACCGAAACTCGTTCATTTTTCTGTTGGCTCTGGCCAACTTAAGACCTTTTCAGCAGATCTTCATGTTTCATAATTTTTTTTGCGCGAACTTAAAGATAACAAATAAATTAAAAGGCCTTAATCTGTGTGATATAATTGATTATTGTGATCAAAGAGCCAAATATTAAGAGCAAGGCAAACCCCAAATCTCGTCTGACCACGTTTAAAGGTTATTTCAACTACGGAACAAAGGTAAGTTGGCCGACAGTTACATAATTTGACAGCTGAATATTTTCAAAAATAACCTATGTATGTATTTAGGATTTTGATTACACCCAATGGCGATTTGAACTTTACTTTCATTATTTTAAATTGAGATAACCCCAATTTATTTGCATTTAGCAAATTAGTAAGAATTGTTATTAAAATACAAATGCGAAATTTATAGAACAGAACTAAGCCAGGCGCATATCGATGGCGTGCAGTAGGCCAAGGAAGACCTGTAAGCCAGGGGAGCAGCCAGGGGAGCAGCCAATGGAGCAGCAGCATACTTGGCGATGGCTGGAGCAGCAACTGGAGCAGCTGCTATCACTGGAGCAGCGGCGATGCTATTGAGATTATGGGAAAACACCTGGCTGCTGGTAGCAGTCACGTAAGGAGCTGGAGCTGCAACTACTGCAGTTGGAGCAGCAGCCACAACTGGCGCACTATAAGCCACCTGCCCGCTCAGAAGGAGACCCAGCTTGGCAGAAGCACAGGCGATAATTGCGAGGATAACAATGGTCTGTAAATGAATGTACTTGAATCAGAGGAACTTCCTTTCCGAAACGTATTTGAATATCCGTAATTATGTCCCATCATCCAGCTGTGATTCAAGGCATAATTACCTTTATTTAAATTTGTATGAATTTAATTTCCATTATTTTTATTCATAGACCGTTGTCATCTTTGGCATCGTCGCCTGTGCTGCTGCCCGGCTCTGCGTGTTCTTGGCGAGCAGCTTACTTATACTGCTCCAATTGTGACTGCTCCTCTAGCTGCAGTAGTTGCCGCTCTAGCACCCTATGTGACTGCAGCGAGCAGTCAAGTGCTTTCCCATAACGTCAATGGCATTGCTACTGCTCCAGTGATCGCTGCTGCTCCAGTCGCCGCTCATGCTGTTGCCAAGTATGCTGCAGATCCCTTGCCTGCTTCACTTCCCTATGGAGCTGCACCACGCTAGCTACTGCTGTTGCTGCCACATGATGGGTCTTATCCTCAAGTTGGGCTCGATTTTAGGCTAAATAAAAACCGATTATCCCTTAAACTGCCTAAATGCTTAAAAAGAGTTTACTTAGCGTAGCACACTCACACACACACACAGACACAGACACATACGCTGACTTGGGGTTTCTTATCCTTTCGTCTGGCTTTTCCACATGGCTATTTGTTAGTTTCCGCGTATTTATCTGAAATGCTTTCATGGCGCATTTCATGCACAGATGCACAATTTGAAAAGCCGTTTTTGGGCTCACGCTTGCCGATAAACGATAAAATTCTTTGCAGGCGTGTGCCTGCAAAAGGAAAAGCGGCAAAATCCTTGCCATATGTGGCAATATTTTTCGGCACTGAATTTATTTAGGCTCTTGGCAACAGGATTTGCTTGCCAGGCGCCTGCTAATTTGATTAGTTGCAAAGTTGTTTGTAATTACAAAAACCGAACAACAATGACAGCAACAGCGTAATTGAATTTACCTTTTCGGTTAAGACCCGCACGGACCCCTTCATCCAGGCAAACGGGCAACTGCAACCGGAATTGTGTGAAAACCTGTGCGACTTTCGCGTTCTCCTCTAAATAATTAAAAGTTTGCCCTTGCCCAGGCAACGCGCTGGCCGCCCATTTTGCGTTTTTGTTTGCCATTTGTAATTGCTGTTAATGGCAAAAACAAGCAACGGTACATGGCCTTTGTTAACCGGCAAAAACAGAGCTACGACCCAGTGCTAACCTCGACACCCCCTAACCCCTTCCCCACGTCATAGCTCGCAACACTACACGAATTTTGCATTAAAAAATCTCGCACCCGACTCTGTGAAACTCCGAATAGCGACTGCAGAAAAGGACTGCAATTGCAGGCTCAGGACATGGCCTAGTCAAAAAGTAGAAGTACGTACATGTATTTATATGAGTTTTTCTTTTCATTACACGTTTATATTTTAAAAAAATTGTTAAATCTGAACATTTGTTCTAATTTTGTGTCTTTTTCTCGTGCGAAAAGTTGAAAAAAGAGGTGTAAGCGGATAATTTGGAATATGAATATATATATCTTTATCAATAGAACGCTGAGAGCTGTGAACTGAAAACTGAAAACTAGCTTAGTAAGTAAAGTAATTTCTATTTATATAAGCTTTAATTGAGTTTGCTGCAGACTTGTTCACAACCTGGCCTATAAAGGAATATGATGTTTTCCTTATTTGATTTGATAATTCAATTAGGGGCATAGAAATATCTCTGAAAAATCTTATGGAATAGACTTTGATAGACGCTCCGCAATTCTAATTGTGAACGAGCTCTATTATGCGAGTATACTATATTCTTATTCTTAGTGCTATCGTTGCTTATCGATAAGAATCGTTTTTACCGTTCAAAATGCCCCGGAAATAACAAAATTAGTAGTGTTGGAAATCACGTAACATAATCTTTGCCTTTACTTTACTTAGCTTTGCAGGCAACTGTACTTACGCACACTTTTTCTTAATGCTGCTTTTGTTATATTTGTGTGTTTGTATTTATTTGTTTACTATCAGCTTCTAGATAGTTTTGAAAAGTATTCTTAGTCGGACCACACTTTCGCCAAGAAAATAAAAAAAGTAGTTTGAATTTACTTTTCCCCTTACGTTTTCTTCTGATATTTCTGTCCTTTTATAATAGTTCTGTTCTGACCTGTGTTCTATATGCTAGACTAAAGACTAATTAAAATATTCATAAAATAAAGGGAGGTATTAAACAGATTGCAAAAAATGAGAGTGTTCATTCATAGGGACAAAATATATATTTAATTTGAATGACCTACTTGCGAATTTGTTGTGCTTTGAGCCGTTGCTAATGACCCAGTCGCACTGTGCGCACTCTGACCTTTGCCCAGCTTATCGTCCTTGTTAAGGAGTCGTCTGTTTGTCTGCCGGTCGCTAATTAGGCTAAACAAATTATGGAATATGATTAATAGAGAGCACGGGAAAGCAATTAACTTTTTGCGATAAGCAGCTGGACGAAGAATTAATGTGCTCTTCAATTGCAAGCAGATTTATTGCTAGTCCTGGTCAGCCCAGGCAAAGGCCTCTCCAAAAAAAACAAACCGCAGATATTTTACAATTCACGTAGTGACATTTGCATTTTTGATTACTTCAATATTTGCTGCATTGCTTTTTGTTTATCGGTAGGTGTTGGGAATTTCATTTTTGGGTGGATCGTTCGATGGTTGAAACGTGTCATGCAAATAAAAAAGGTTGAGGGGGTGTGTGTGGGCGAGGGGCGAGGCATGCGTCTATTTGAATTGGCATACAAAAGGTCAGCAAGGCCCTAAAAATTTACCCAGCCGCATTTTGGGTTATTTCTTTATGCAAATCATGGTGGGCGGGGGCGGCATTTGTTGTGGGCGTGACAAGCTCTGATTATGTGATTGTTGTTGTCGTTGTTGGTTGGGTTGGGCTGGGGCTTTGGTTGTGATTTATTTTGTCCATGGTGTCATTTGCTTAATTTGTTTGTCGCGCTTACACACTGCAAAGATTCAATCAAAAACCGTTTTTTTTTCTTTTTTTTTAAGTACAAAGACAATGGCCAAAAAAGCAAAGTTCAGGCCAAGCCAGACAATGGGTCGATGTATTATATTACCAGGCAATTGCTGAGATGAAGGGCCTGTGCTTTCGGGGGATGCGGCTTCGTGCTCAAGCAGCAAAACCTTAACTGGGAATATGGCAGTAATAGAAACACCCACACGCTTAAGCAGAAGCGGGTGGGCGACTGGATTCGGATTCGGGAGACAGGACTCGGCGCTGACGTGTTACTGCTACTGCAGCCACACTTAACCTTGGCTGTATACGGCCGAGGACACGCCACTTAACTTATGAATTAAATTCCTGCGCTCCGCAAATCCCGAAGTCAGAGTCAGAGTACGGCATATTTTATGGCCAGCACACACAAGTTTAGCCCAAAAAGCGCTGCGGGCTGCCTTTTAGCTGCCAAAAGCTTGCGCTCTCGCAAAGAGAGCGAATTTAAAGCTTTCTGCGAGACTTTCCAGTCAGCGCCATCTCTCTGCAGGCAAAGTTTGCTCTTTGGTCTACGTTCAAAGAGAACCGTGGGTAATATTTTCTCAAAGGATTTGTTTATTGGGTAGTCTACGTATAATAAACTGCAGTTGTAGACATGACAGCAAGCTAAATAAAAAATGTAAATATATATATATACACATTTTTTTGTGGCTACTCAAGTGGGAAACAATGGTATAAAAGTGCCATTGCATTCAGACTTTTGTTTGGGCGGAATTATTGTCTTTGACTTGCGATGATTGGCCGTGAGCAGAAATAGCTTTTCGAGCATATTGTCAGCCTGGACAGCGGTCATTGCGAACACATGGATCGCACCGGACTCATAGACCTTGGCCGCGACACTGGGTATATTTTTGTTCACATAGTAGGCATACCGCAGGCTATCCTGAACTGTATCGCAGCTCAGGGAATACGTTTGGCTGAACTCCTCAATGCAAATGTGCCATGGAAATTGGGCGATATGTATCATTTGGGAGTGCAATGCATTATGCTGTGCCATGTTAACGGTCGCGGCATCGCCCAGAATTTTGGCCAATATACACTTTTGGGTATCGACGAGTAGGGCCTTGCTGCGCGCATTACTGATCAGTATGCTGCCATTATCCCAAATCCAAGCCATTTGGGCGAAATCGTAACTCATTTGCAGCACCTGTATATCGCTATTGTATACCGCATTGTCCAGCTCCAGGGCCAGCTGATTCATGTCCAAGTTGCAGTTCATTTCCAGCGTGCTATACGCTCGCACCAGCTTCATTTCCACTGGCATTTTGGTGCGTTCGATTTTGCGTTTGGTCGGTGGCCGCAATATGCGCAACTGCTGCAATCCCTGATCCAGATGCGTTGGCAGCGCTGGCATTTCCAGGACACGCTTCAAACTATCCAAGTTCCTTTTGCCCGCATCATTTAGCCATCGGCTACCGCGCAGGCGTTTACCCTGCGGATCCCGAAACTCGGTCATGTTCTGATCAATGATGTCATCAAAGTCATCCAATCGTCGTTTGTAGCTATTCTCCCATTGCCCCGGGCTCTGCGGTATGCCAGCTGTGATTTTTAGCTCCGACTCGAGACGTAGCCCCTCACCAGTTGCCGTTTTAGTTTTGGGCGGCATTTGCGCACTTTCACTGATCTGTGCTTCAAAATCGACTGGCTCTATGTGTGCCGCATTCGGCAGTCGTTCTGGCACTCTGATGGGCAGCGAGTCGAGTCGGCTTTGTACCACGCGGGACAGATCTTGGCCCAGTTGCTGCAGCCACTGTTGCACGGCGTCCTCTTGCGGCTTTGGCGTCGCAACAAGCTGCGGCAGTTTTTCCACATTCACTATTAATGGCTGATCAGCCCTTTGGGTCAAGGGCTGCTTCTCGTTCTCAGACTGCTCATCCATGTTGATTTCAAGTTTTGGCTTTTGCTGTTGCTGTTGCTGTTGCTCTTGCGGCTGATCTATGACAATGATTGAGTCTATAGCCTTCTGCATGTCCTCATTTTTGATGACAAGTGGTGTCATATTTGAGAGCTCCACCCTTTCAGCTGCTCGCTGCTGCGTCGTTTCTATCACAGTTCTTTCCTTAACTAACTCCAGCTCCATGGATGTATCCTGCCCTTCCCTTGAAGGCGCCGTAGGCATGCCCTTACCTGGTCTTATCTGCACTAACATTTTGGGCCGCAGCAAATCTTGCAGCGCTTTTCTATTTTCCTCACTTCTGGCCATGTTCAGCAACATTTCAAAGGCTTTGATATCACTTAGCGGCGTATGAAGTCGTTTTGACTTTAGAAAGTCCACCAGGCCGCGCTCCTCGTCCAGGCTCAGATCTAAGCTATCCAATTCCACATAGGACACGCTCGCTGCGTCTTGTTGCGTTTGTTGGTCAAACTCCTCTCCCTGCTCGCAGCTAGTTTGCCAGTCCGCGAGACTAGCGATCATCTGATCCAGGTCATTGACCTGGCTTGGCGGTGTGCTTTCGACCGTCGTTGACTTAACTGGCACTTCTTTGGGCACCAGAATGGGACTTAATGCATTTTGGGTGCAGCAAATGGGCCATTCAGGCTCTGCGCCCTGTTTGGATGCCTCGTAGCTAAGCCAAATATCCTCCGATGTCGGCAAATGGTCTATATCACTTTTCTTGATGGGCGATATGGGCCTAAAGTTCTGATCGTGCAACCAATCCAAATCTCTAGCCGGCGAATGTTGGGTTGTAAAAACTTCTGAGGTGGTATTTAAATTGTTGCATTGCTGTTGCTTGTTCCTCAACTTTGGTATTATAAATGTGGAAAATTGCCTAATTGGCTGGTCAATGCGCATCGGCCCACAACCACCCAGATTAAAATTGAGATCTGCATTGCCAAAGCTATAGCCAGAGAGCAGCGTTTGGTCATAGTTCCACCACATTGAGCTCCTATCAATACAAACAAATTTTAAGTTAAATGCTTTTCTGTGTGGAATGATTTGATGATTCAACTCGTGAGCTTACTGTACTGTGGGCTCGCATGGTGTCTCCTCGATTTGAACTGGCGCCTGCTCTGGCGCTGGTTCTACGTCTGGCACTATCTCTGCTACAGGCACTGGCTCTGGCAATGACTCTGGCACTGGCACTAGCTCGGCCACTGGCACTGGCACTGGTGGATTTTCCTTTTTGGAGTGCTTATGCTTGTGCTTTTTTTTGTGCTTCTTGCCGTGCTTCTTATGGTGCTCCTTGTGCTTTGATTTTTTATGTTTCTTGACATTTTCGTCATTCGGCAAATAGTGTTGGACATCATTGTTTTTCAGATTAATATAGATGGGGGCGAGTTCTTTGGACTCATGTTTTTTTTTCGATTTGCCAAACATGACGTTTCCGTCTAATGTTAATGGAAATTAACGAATTTGCACGATTCTCAAATGATTTGACATTTGTGAGTGTTGAAAACGGTTGCAAAGCAGCCCAATGCATAATAAACTACAGTGTTGGGTAACAAACTCGCAAGAATATTATCAATTACGTTATTATATTGTCCCATCTTCAGTTTCTAACCGACTGTATTCTTATATTTAAATGTTCAACGCCCATAATGCACGTGAATGTGAACAGAAAATTACTTAACATATTTAAATGCTCGGCAATCTTAATGAATTCAATGGATTTTCCAACAGATTTTCTCACTGATATCGGTAGAGTGTTGTTTATGACTGGCAAATTTATTTTGATTTACCGTAGAGATCAAATTAACTTTTCAAAAAAAAAGCAAGGCATCCTATTTGAGAACAGACCGACTTGGATTTGGGGCATGGGGAGAGTGTCTCTATTAGTCGCCTCGTACGACAAGCGGTGACATGCTGTGGAGGTATTCTAGTGCCCGCCAACCACACGGGTATTTACATTTTCACAAGTCTGAAAATTGTATTCGTTATACCAAAAAAAGATAAATGAACTAAATGTAGATTTGTATACTGTATTCCATAGTTGAGCATTTCGAATACTTAACTTAGTTAATTTTGATGCTTTTAATATATCTTAAAATTTAATTTGAATAAATTACTTTTAACACCTTTAAGTACGACAACATGTTTTTAATGTTGTAATAAAAACAGGTTAGCATTAAAAGCTGCCCGAAGTCAGACAGAAATTAGAAAGTTTTTTGCCCCGCCCCCCACTTAAGGCATTTAAAAGTTTAAAGGGCTTTTGATTGGGACACTATTTCTTAGTGTCTGCCTCGTAGGTGCACACATACGACTAGTCAGGTAGTTAAAACTTTTAAATTGAGCCTGAGCGGCCAGGAATCATTTGTGATTTTTTTTTGTTTGTTTGGGACTCTGCAGAGAATATCTGTCTGGCAAAAGTTACAGCTACTGCAAAAGTGCTCTGTCACTGCTCATTTGTTGCTAATAATTATAAAAGTTTACACACTTCCCCAAGTGACATGCACACATGTACACACATTATGCATGTACATGCGAGTATGCACCAAAAGAATAGTTGCAGACAGTCTGTCTCCTTTCTTTAGAGGAGGCAGGCCCTGGATCAGTGCAAGGGGGGAGGGGCGGGGCTGCACTGGCAAAAGTTTAGCGCCGCTCGCAATTGTTTAGTTTAGCTACATTTGCTGTTGATCAAAATGTTTGTAAAGTTTTTAGTGTGGGTCTAACAATAACTGCTGCCTCCGATTACACATAGCTGGCAACTGGCAACTGAAAACTGGGCAACTCAAATAGTTTTCGGCAGCAGCCTAAAAGCATGAGGTATTAAATTTTTATTTGCTAACCTATAACAATTGTGAGAGCTGAATGCTCTTTCAAGTATGTCCGAAATGCTTCGTTACTTATAAGTCATTTCGTTTTGGCCCACAGCCAGGCTCAGGTTCCGTTCAAGTTTTTGCAAACAAGTCCAACAAAGCCATCTCCAAATTGCCCTAAAAGCCTTTTCAAGTCAAAGTTTTCTCTGTTTGCGCATAATTATTTATTTGTGTGAATGCAAAAAAAATAAGATAAAAATAAAGAAAAGAAATTAAATTTAATGGAAAACGAAAAATATTAAAAGAAAAATAAAAACAGCTAAAATAAAATAGTTTTTATTCGTTGCATCCTATTAATTTAAATCTTGTGTTTATGAATTATTATTATTTTTAATTTTTTTTTTAAATCCCAAAAAGAAAAATAGAACATGTCTTCGGCACGCCAAAGATTTAATACCCTTGTAGACATTTCCCTTTTGCAGATACATATGTAAGAATAATGCAGTTCCTAAATGCTAAGAGTGCTGAAATATCTATGAAAACAGGATACTTTTCCCTATAAGATCCTACTACTTCACCGATCTTTGCTATGGCAGCTAAACAAACAAGTTTTTCTTACCAGTGCTCCGACCCGATTCCTTTTCCGACATATGTACTGCCTGCAACAGAATGACGGACCTATGCAAAGTTTCAAGACGATAGCTTTAAGCATGAGAGACTAGTTCGCATAAAAACAGACGTACGGACATGGCTATATCATTTATATTTACTTTATGGGGTCGGAGACGAACGAAACAAATAAAATAAAATTCAAGATACTTGATCTGTACTAGATCGACTCGGCTATTGATGCTGATCAAGAATATATACACTTTATTGGGTCGAAGATACTTCCTGCCCGTTACATACATCTACACACATCTTTGCACAAAAATAATATACCTTTTTACCCATTTCCAATGGGTTCAGGGTATAAAGCAATTCGAAACTGTATTTGTATTTACACACAAATGGGAAACGAATAATAAAATACATAATTATTTGTGCTCACAAAGCGATCGAGTGATTATACGAAGCTATCATATTTATTGGAAGGTTTGTCGTCCTGGGGGCCTGGAGGTTGATCGTTTTCTTGGGGTCTTTGAGAACGCCTCCTTTGCTTGCTCTTCTTATCATCCGTAACTTCATCGAATATAACACGCTCTAAAATTTCGATTTGGATGGTTAGAATTTTTGAGATAGCGCATATATGCTCAATACGTTCGCGATACTCAGCCTGCAGAGTGTCTTCGTCCTTTTCAACTTCGACAGTTTTTACGCTACTGAATATGGACCTAGTCGATCGTTGCTTAAGGATATGTTGCCTATCGCGCTCGGCCAAAATACGTTGAATATTCTCAGCCACTGTGCGATTATTGCGTTTGTACTTCTTTTTAATAAATGGCAGGTTATGAAAGAACCGGTGGACACTATAGAACTCCACACGTAGAAATTCCAAAAATGTAATTTGTCGCCGGAATTTTGCATCACCAATGGACTTGGCGGCGGTAAAATAATCATGAATTAATGTTACAAACACGTTGATCAGCAGCACAGAAATCACAAATCCCAAAGCAGCATACATAGCAATGCCCAGATATTTACCACCATGAAAGAGATCGTTTGGCTTGATCTCGCTCATAAAGCCGAACGAGAAGCATATGGACGTGACGACACTTGTGACTGGGCGAATAAAGTGGGAACTGTTGTTGCCATTGATAGTGACAAACGCAATGCCAAATGCCATCAGAATGATGGTAATGGCCAGGGCGGTGATGGCCAATGCCTTCCAGGCCAGATACAGAGTTTTGGTGAATATCTGAAATACCTTGGCGAACTGCATCACCTTCCACAAACGCAGCGTGGTTGCGCAGATTAGAAAGCCGGTTAATATATTGGCCAGGGCAAGCAGACGACCCGGTTTCCGAAAGTCTAGAAAATCTAGCTTATTGGTACCCTCCAATCTCTTTAGCATCGCGGCTACGATTGTTGTACGCGTAACGACGACACCAATCATCGCGACATTAAGAACAATTATAATCAAATCCAATTTGTTCCACATGCTGCGCAACCTGCCTGGCTGATACCATAATTGCACCAGGAATGCGTGCATGAACTGCAGAAGGACTATCACATAGATGAGCAGCACGAACAATGTCACATAGCCTGTCTGTAGGACATCATCGACCAGCTCAATGCTGTCACAGTAAACATCCGGTATGATGCCACCAAAGGGCGTTTGCTCTACGCGCAATGTGCATACGCTGAACATATCTGAATCGACATTATATAGCGTAAAGTCAAGGAATACCGCCGATGTGTTGTACGTTAGCCAATGGGTTTCGGTTAGAAATTCAAGTATCTTCATGCTATTCGCCTTCTGGCGTGCCAGCAGCGCGACGTAACCTTTTAACTCTGGATAGTTCTGGAATTTACCTACATGATTAAAATTAAGCAGAACCCGAGAAGCAAAGTTTTTTTCGACTAGGGGTATCCAGGGCTCATAGATGCGCCAATATTTCTGGGCATAGAGCATGTGATAGTATGGCAATTGCCAATCGGGCATATATGGTTGATCTGTAAATTCGGGATCATTCCAGCCCATATGTTCCTCGGCCAGGCGCAGTTGACGTAGTCGCACCACGCTCACCATTTTAGTTTGGGTGCTGTGCACCCAGGAGTTAACTCCCGTATCGTTGGCATCGTAGCTGAAAGCATCGATTAGCGATGACTGCACAAAATCGAACAGCTGATTCAGATGATAAACCTCTTTAAGTCCAATATAACTCGAATGATTGTACATCAACAGCTTTTCCAATCGGTGGGTATTGTAGTACATCAGATCGTCCCGCGAAACCAGCACCAAGCCAATCAGTATTAAAAAGTATTTGCCATAAAGAAATAAATCTTGTGCAATAATCCTGTACTCCTGGGTCAGAGTCTCATTGCGATAACGCTCGGTGATCAGGGTCTGAACTCTCATTGCCCTCAAGCGTCGCTTAAGGAAATTCAATCGATTGTATTCCTCAACGTTGTTGTCCTCCTCATCCTGATATTTGCGATACTTGGGCATGCTGCGCGGCCAAATGGACATATCAAGTGCGATTAGCATAAGTTTTATTGGCTCAGCAATTAGGAGCTGAAAAAATAGTACTATCACGATTGCTATGAAAATGTTTTTGGCGTTGCGCGCCTCGTGCTCAAAGCCCGAAAAATAAATCATTAGACCCATGCATGTCGAGATAATTGCTGCCGTGAACATAAAAAATGCACAATTGATGGATCTTTGATTCATTATTTAAGCTTTATCGATGCCTCTCTATGCGCGTTTTTTTTTGTTTTTTACTTGCAAATGGATTTTAGAAGTTTTCAAAAATTGATTATATTTTATGAACTTAATGTTGCTCGAACAGAAAGTATTTTGAAATGATTTTGAAAACACACTTTTGGGTAAGTTTGAGTTTTCGAGTCGAAAATGTTCTTAAACTAGGCCATCTGTGTTCCGTTTTGTAAAATTGAGAATGAAATATAGCTTAAACTCGATTAAACGAAACGGGAACATCTGTGAAACAAGATGCTAATCGGTTGATTTAATGACTACAACAAGTCAAGTTAACCACAGAAAATATTAAAGCGAATTTTTGAAATAAATGGATTACAATAATATATCATATATATAAGCATATGTATGTTTAAAGATGCAGATTCACATGTTAATATTTTGAGAACATTCCCAACGCACATCACCGATGATGTAGTACTTGTATCTATTTGTTACCCTACCCACAATTAATAATATTAATCTTATTTAAACGTATTCAGTATGAAAAGGTCACTTCATCTGAATTGTGTAAACAAATTGACACTATAGAGATTGGTCTCTGCTAATTAATACTTTACCATATTTTTTATTAATTTTTTATTTGTCAAATTATAAACTTCAGATTGTAATTAATTTGTCTCATCTGAATTGTGTAAATAAATTGATTAAATTAATATTCTCTTTAGAGGTTGGTATCGGTGTTACTTTTTTATTTGTCAAATTATAAACGTAATTATAAATGTAATTAAATTTTGTTTAGTAACAGAATCGAGTTCTTCAGCTTCATCTGGCAACTGTCATGCTGTTCTCTTCGTAATTTAAAACTTTTTTCCGATTTTTACCTAACCGGTAACCAAATGAAAAATACCATTAATATTTTTTAAACATTTTCAGTTTCAGAATCGCTTTCATTATCTGATTCATCTAAATTGACTGTTTCCTCCCTAAAGAGCAAGTGGTCAAGTAATGATATTTGGGTTTGCATGAGAGCTGCAACCGTATAAAGACGTTCAATACGCCCTATATATTCTTGTTGCTTCGTTTTTTCATCGCCTTTTATGGTTTCTGTTTTTGAATTATCTTTAAGAGAAAAAGCTTGGTATCTTTTCTTTTCGTTCCACCGTTTGCTTTTTTCCATATCGAAATTTATGTTTTCGGTAACCGTGCGATTACGACGCTTGTAGCCTCGTTTGCAGAAAGGCAGTTTCTGGAAGAATCGAACGATTGGGGCGTATTCCACACGTAGGAACTGCAGAAAGTTGATGTAGTTCAACCCTTTGGCATCTCGCTGGTGCTTGGCATGCACGAAATAATCATTGACTGTCGAAACAAAAAGGTTCATCAATAGCTGAGCAACCACAAAGGCCAAAATTAAATATAGAAATAAGCCCAGAAGACTGCCGCCATGAAAGAGATCTTTGTGATTGAACTGCGAGGTAAAGCCAAAGGAAAAGCACAAAGACGAGACGACGCTCTTAATCAGTTTCTCAAAAGTAACCGTATTGTTGCCATTTATAATGACAACAGCCATTCCGTATCCGACCAAAAATATAAGTATTAATACGGCTGTACTAGCCAACGCCTGCCATGCCGAGTACAACGTAGTGGAAAATAACTGAAAAACGCTGGCGAACAGAAGAACCCGCCACAATCGCAACGTGGCCAAGCAGACAAGAAATCCCAACATTATGGTAGACGCCAAATGCAAGCGTGACGGCAGCCTGAAGTCAAGGAACTCAAGCTTACTTGAACTCTCCACCTTCGCGAGCAGACTCGATACAATTATTTCCCGTATGATAACCATAACGATCACAATTAAATTTAGCACTAGGATAATCAAATCCAGCTTGCTCCACATGCTGCGCAGCTTGGACGGCTCATACCAGAGCGTTACGACCACCGATTTACCGAACTGTATGAGTACAATTAAATAGAGGGTCACCACGATTATGCCCAGTATCCCCAGCTGATCGAGGAATTGCAATTTGACACTGAATATGTTCAGTGAGGAAATAATATCGCCAAAGGGCGTCTGTTCGATCAGCACAGTGCATATGGTAAAGATGTTGGCATCCACATTGTAGAGCGTAAAGTCAATGAACACCGCCGATGTGTTCCATGTCAGCCAGTTCATATTTTTAATATAATCAATAACCTTCATGCTATTGTTATAGCTGCGCGCGAGCATTGTTACGTAGCCATGCAGCTCTGGGAAACTCTGGGTATAGCCATAATGATCAAAGCCGAATAACATCTTGGTCGTTGTACTATGAGTGGGATATATGGGCAGCCATGGCTCATAGATTTTCCAATACTTGTCTGTGTACAGCATCCGTTGATAAGGCAATTCCCAGCTGGGCATAAAGTCTAAATCTGAGAACTTGACTTCACCCCAGCCAATGTGATAGTTCTCTTTTCTGCGCAGCTGACGCAAACGTATAACACCCAACTTGGTGGTGTGATCGCCATACAACCATTTCCTTTGTCCAGTCTTCGCCAAATCTGGCTCAAAGGGCGCCACAAGTGCAGACTCAAGAAACGCGAATAGCCCGTGCAGGTGACGAACGCTGACTACTCCCAAGCTGCGAGTCTGATTGTTCATGTAAAGCTTGTACATCTGCTTGGTATTGTAGTAGAGCAATTCATCCCACGAGACTAGCACCAGGCACATAAGTAACAGGAAATACTTGCCATACAGCCACAAGTCCCTGGCATTAATCTGATACATAAGGTTCAGGGGCTCGTTGCAATGCTTCTCGGTGGCCACCAGCTGTGAGCGCAGCGTATTTATCCGCATTTTCAGATAATGGGTGCGCGTATGAATGGTCGCATTCTTATCTATATTGTACGAGGCTTGTGTGCGCGGCCACCAGGCTGCGTCCATTGACAATACCAGGAACTTGATTGTATCACTCACTAGGAACAATAGCACAGTCACCACAAACACATTCACCAAAATTGATTTGACCTTTCCGCCCTCGTGAAGAAAGCCCGAGAATACTGCTATACAAAACGCGCAAATAACCATAATTACAGCGGTAGCTGCAATAAGTGAGTTCTTCAATATAAAGTTCTTAAATTTACTCATATTTAATGAAGAATAATCTCAAATTTTTTCGAAATTATAAATATTTTTGTACACAATATTTTGAAGCGTCAAGCTATAAGATTTTACTGTTTTCTGACTACATAAGTATTATGTCCGACTTTATGGAATGCTTGATGTTATTCCACCTGTTTATGAACATCCCAAGGATCTTAGGCAAAATACATAAACACATCGAAAAACATCAATATTGCAAAAAGGGTATTACACTCATGGAATATTCCTTTTGATAGTTGGAAGTCTAAGTAATGCGCACTCATTTGCATTTTCTAATGCTATTTTCTGTTTCTTTTCAACTCTAAATTTTCTTGTTCATGATATCCTTGTCATATGATATTCCTGTGCTATTTCTGAGACTTGGATTTTACATATTTATAAGCATTGTTATTTCGCCTATTATGCAGCTACTCTATGGGGGGCGGGGGTGGGCAGGGCTTTTCCTTTTGCTCACAAGACACTCGTTTTTTAGCTCCATATGGCCAGGGCAACAAATCTACTTAGAGAACCGAGACAAGCTCAGTCACAAAACTTTGTGCGAAGTAAACTTTTGAGGCTAAGTGCAAGTCTTTGGAAAAACTTTAATTTTCATTTTTTTTTTATTTTGCAAGCGTCAAGACGACTGCGACTAAGACATAAAACCTTTGCCGGCCAACTTGCTCTGTCCACATCTCTCTCTCTCTTTTTGCGGTCGGTCAGCTTACTAACGACTTTTCGATACGAAGCGGAAAACTTTGCGCTTGGCCTAGTAGATAAAATTGTCGATAGCTGGCCAAGCTCAACCTTGCACCGTCTGCCACACCTGCTCTGGACTAATCTCCGTGAGCTGGTGCGACTGAGATGGGATGCATATTAATAAGCTGCGCAAATGTTTGCCGGCTGCCAGAACCTGGTGCAGTTGCAGTCTATTAAGGGGCACAATAGACTTACACTGTGCCGCCCCTCGCCTCCTGTCAGCCGACTGCTGACTACGAGGCACATGCAAAACATGTTTGCCCATCCAGAAACAGTCGCTGCCCTGCTCGGCTTCGGTTAGCCAAGCCAAAACGCAACCAGTGCCTTGCCCTTCTTCACTCAAACTGTTTGCCGTTTAGTTTCGCATAAAGCGTACACACTGTAAAATGCATAAATCTTTGTTGGCACTGGCTCAGGCTCAGGCTCAGACCTGGGCTCTGCTCCATGCAGCTGCTTTGGCGTCCTGTTTGTTGCACGTTTCATTTGTCAAAAAAGGTTTTTCGGAATTTTATTGCCAGCACTCAGTGTTGTGGTACAAGCCAGTCAAAACCGGAGCGTCTCTGGTTAAATTCAAGTGCAGAAGATTTCCGCAGCATTTGAATTGTAAACGCCATTACCATAGGCGTACCGTAAAAGATTTTAAATACAATCGAAATCTTGTTAAGAAATAAGTTCGAAGGATTTAAGAAAATCTGTTCAGTTAAATAGTAAATTTTGGCAAATAGTCAGAGGATTATAGCGCCTTTCTTTCCGATTTTCAATAAATCAAACAATGTTTAAAGAGAGAGAGAGAGATAGATATTATCTGTGTGAGAGTACATGTTGGCATGTTGGCTTTAAAGTCTGTAAGTTAGTCGTTCGTTTTTAGATTTCAGCAACAGCTTGCTCGAAGCGTACTAAATCGGCCTTTTTTTAGACTAAGCAACATTTTAACACATTCAATAACACTTTTAGCAAAGTTCAGAAATATAAAAGCCATTTAATTAGCTCTGCTTTAACGTATCGAATTTTAAAATCGGTAGAGATTTGCAAAGGTTAGGACATAAAAATCTTTTGAAAAAGTGCATCACAGAAAAGTAAAATTAATATAGACTTAATGTATATAGATGCATAAAGATGTATAAAGGTCGATCGTTTCTATGGCTGATTATTTGTTTCAATAAAATTTTACGACAAACTTAAATGTAAGATGTTATTTTTAATTATTTCGTGCAAGGCTTTCCCATTAATCATAAGAGAAAACTAGCTGTAATCCACATATGCATGTAGATTTGTCAGGCATTGTTGAATCCTTTTCCCTCACCAGGAACAGTTGCTTATGCCGCCTTCTAGTGCCACCAAAATCAAATTAAGCAAAATTAAACGCAACGACAAACAGACAAGGATAACAGCGCGAGTGCCGACTGTGAGCCAGGATATGATTCCTTTATTTTAATATTTTTTCTTCTACTTTTTATCCTTTTTTGGCAAGCACACAACATATGCGTCCCGTTGACAAATAAAGTTTACAGATATGTGCAAAGAGCACACACAGAGAGAACGGGAGAAGGGAGCGAGATGCTGGGCACACATTGAGAGACAGATGGGCAACGCACACGAGTAAACAATGGAGAACTGGTTGGAGTGGGGGCCTGGCAATGCCAGGCACGGAACACCAGCACCAAACATGGAGCATGGAGCATGGAGCACTGCTAATGTACACAGACAACAGCTCCCCAATGAAATAGTTTATGGTAAACCGCAATGCGAAAAATGTCACCTCTTGGCAAAAATGAGCAAAGCCAAAGGGCGGGCGAGATTCAAAGATACAAAGCGTAACAGAGGGCATGAGATAGAGAGAGAGCAGAGTTGTCGGGTAGCTGGTAAAATAAGTGCGGAAGTTGTTTGCGGAGCTGGCAAAAGGCAAACGGAAGCGGCCTATTGGGCAATGGCGGCGCCACAGGCGGAAATGAGCCAACTTGGCTGCCATACGAGGCGCTGGTCCTGGCGCTAACTCAAACACCAGACGGCTGCAAATTTCTACTTGATCTTTAATAGATAGACTTAAAAGATTGGTTAACTTAACTAACTTGTGGCTCCCTGAGTTTTAGCACCTGTTCGATTCCAGAAATAAACATCCTCCTCTATTTAGCCTTTCTATGGGCCACGCAAAGGCGGCTCTGTGAATTGCTCATTTTGGGCATCGCATCGCTTGGCATCTGCCTCGCTGGGCACCACATCTTTAACCAACTCGAGCAACTTATCCAACGGACACTGGAACTCACAGCCGGGCACAGTTAACTTTTGAGCTGGCGCCTTAGGATTGTTACGGAAATAAATCTCCACCCAGTAATCGCCGGTTTCTTTGTTCTTGTGCAGCTCAAACAGTGCCATGACCGAATAACGCGGCAGCTGACGCTCCCAGATCTTCAAAGCAGACAGCACATTGACCACAGTCGAGTCGTGACCCGTATAGATAAAGAGCTTGCGCTTGTCGGGCTTGAGGGTTTCGTTGCGCTTCTGTTGCATTTCGTTGAACATCTTCTTCAGGAACGGACCCGCCTTGATCTTTTGCATCTCGGGCGTATACACATTATACACATAGCTTTGTTCGGTTAGGAACTGCATTTTCTCGGGAAAATATTGCTTCGTCCATTCGGGCAGCTCTAGACCCCATTCCTGTTCCGCGAGCAATGTCAGATACAACGATTGCACATCTTCCGGTTCATTGAAGCTGAGCCCAGTGTGGGCTGCCAGCTCCTTATACATATCCAGATAGGGCTCGATTTCCTTCTTCACCTCGGGCAGCTCATAAACTTCGTGCAGGGCTTCGAAGTAGCGGGGACAGGGTGTGCGCACAAGAAGTAACTGAGGATTAAAGAATTTTCGATTAATTAAGGACGAGCATTTAAAATTGATTTTTAAGATTTCCTACTATGTAGTTAAGCTTCAAAATAAAGACAAAGATTTTCAATTATATTAAAAAACTTTGACAAACTGCATTAAAATTGTGAATTTTAGTCAAATTAAACAAATGAATTGACAAACAAGATTAGAATTAATATTTACCGCCAATTTAAATCAAATTCAATGAGCCTGACAGCATTAAGCTTAGAATCTTTTCGTTATGTGCATCGGAATTTTAAATTAGAATTTTTTTCTTATAAGTTAAGCCTTATAAATGGCTAGCACATATCTCAATTAAATTAGTTTTTGGCCCGTTTTAAAAGAGGAGAGGAAAGAGCCCGATTCCCGGCCTTTGGTGTTGACGTTGAAATGGGGTATTAATCAATTTGAACTGATGATGGCATCATTATTGATAGGTTGACATACCGTATCCTCATTTAGCTCCTGGGAGAAGACCGGTATGGGCTGCCAATTGTATTTGCTGTTCCATTCCATGGGCGTACCTTTCGGTGGAAAGAAACTGGCCAGCACTGTTTGCATGGTCATGTGTGTGCGTGGCACACCCGTTGCCTGTGCGTGCACCAACTGAAGATGTAAAATGTGGCCAAGAACGAGAACGAGAACGAGAGCGAGGACGAGAAGAGCGTTAAGGAAATTGAGTGATGAGGCAAGAGCGCTTGAGCTTTGCAATTTGTAAACGTCCGCACTATCAGACACCCGTCCGGCGGTATACCCGGTCTCCGGTTCCCGATTCGCTGCCAACGGGTGTCTGGTGGTGGTTCGTTAGCGTTGGGTTACTCACATCGGGACTGTAGTAGGGTGCCAGGAATTTGCCATAACGCTTACGCAGCCAACTTCCAATGTTGAACAGCTCGCGTTTGCCATTCTGAGCGTTGATTTATTACATGGCATGGGCGGATGGCACGTGAGACAACAGCCGGGTAGCCCACAAATAGCAGCAGCAGTAGCACCAGAGAAAGAGACAGAGGGGAGAGAGCGAGAGAGAGAGAAACATGTAGCAATGTTATAAAATAATAAATGCCTTGCATTTTTGCAATTGCATAAACATATGCATGTGTATATGTTAATGCAACACAGATGCCACACCCGCACTTCATCCGTCCTCCGCCACGACAAACATTTGCATTTCAATTTATTTAAATGCTTTGCTGCGTGGTTTTCGGGCTGAACGGGAAGCTGGTAGGTTCCTTTTTCACATTTTTTTATTTTTTTGTTTTTTTGCTTTTTTGTTTTCTATTTTTGGGCAAAAGTTTTGCTGCAACTTGTTCTCGACTCACATTTGTTACTTGTCCCCAGCCAAATGGATAGTAGGTTTCATTTACATGGGGATCCGTTGGATATGTGTCCGCCGGTGTGCGTGGGCCATGTCGAAAGACCTGAGAATTGTACAAATGTATGCAGTGTTAGTTACGAGTTTTTAACTTTTATTTCCAGTCGCTGCTTTAATTAGCTCGGTTTTAGTCTCAATTGACATAAGCTGAAAATCATGCTTATATGGGAAATAATATTACTTTAAGGCATCAATTTTATTTAAATTATATTAATTTAAAAAGCATGAATATTTATATAAAAAATGTTATCAGCTAATAAATGCTGTAAGATCGACTACCTATTGATTTTTTAAATAACATCCACAGTCTACTCTACACAACCGAAGTCTATCTATTAATAAATTGAAAAAAAAAGTTTGTTATTTATTATTAAATAATACAGATCTTTAAATTCTGACGACCTGAGGCTTTTCATTTTCCAGATTAGGCTTGTTTTTACGCGCTATTTTTAGCCATTGCCATGTTGGGGTACGCGTTTAATTAGAATCTCAAGCAAAAAACAATTATAATAACAAATTTGAGCCGTGCACGCGACTCTGATAAGAGAGAGAGAGAGAGAGAGCGAGAGAGAAGTACTCAGGGGAGGAGCAACCATCGATCCCAGGCGCACCTCACACTGGTCATGCACGTGCGAAGTGTCGTTACAATTACAAATTTGCGGAAGTATTTCCAACGATTCGATGTAAATTGCGCGTGGCCAATTTGCTGATAAGCTCCGCCTGGCTGAAGGTCAGCAGCCCTGGACTAGACTGAGTCAACTTATCTCTATGTCAGTTAATTAGGTTTTCAGAGCATCAATATTAAACCTGACTACGTAAAAAATGTTTGAAAATATTTATATAACAAAAGTGCGTCGCAGTTTGCGGTATGGCCATATAAAAAAGTTAGTAGACTGGTTTTTTTGTGCTTTTTTTTTGCTGCTCGGTTGGGCGAAACGAGTAGCTAAAATTGTAATTAGGCATGTAGCTGGTTTTAAGTTTGTTTGGTTTTGTTTTGTTTTGTTTATAGTTTGGGCATGGATGATGCGTACAACTGATTTATAGACCAGTTTGAAGAGTTTGTTTAGTGCCAAATGAAGTTAAGCAGCTTTATTTAATTTACAAGTAGATTGTTGGAAAGATTAAAAATTAAATTAAAGGGAAATCTGAAATTAAATACCAACAGATATCATATCTCCCAACATATATTTTACATGCCGAACTAATTGGAAATGCCACTAGGTAATTACAGTTTTTCATAGCTTGTTTAGCAACTTTATGGGCGCGTGTTTATTTTTTTTTAACACGACACGAGCACGAAGCGACAATATTTAATCGCACGTAACACGAGTTGTATAAAATTTACCCGATTCGACAAGCACAACTTATTTAAAATGTTGTTTTATATTAATTTTTAATTAATAAAGCATATATTTATTATTAGGCACTGTGAAACTATCTGATGTCGTGTCAGATCGTGTTAATACTGTCTGCGCCTTCACGTGCCCAATGCGTGAATGTTTGTGTCACGCACGGAAACACGACATGCGCTCAACTCTAACAAGAAAACTATCAGCTTCCACAGCTTATAGACGAAACTAGAGTTCCCCGTCAAAGTCACAATCGCACATTTATTACTAGCTTCATGGCTGGCTGCTCATTAATACGTGATATAAAATCCAATAATAATCACTGATATTAGTAATTTTAATCTAAAGCACCTTAATCGGTTCGTTCTATAAGTAGCACACAATTAAAGATCAATTAAATTAGCTGATGAACATAACATTAATCACTGGATTTGATTTTAGCTCCTTTCAATGTTTATCGAAATATAGGTAAACCTATATCTTATCAGCCTTCTACCTTTCGGAATGCCTTCACTTTCCGTACTGCTGATACATAGTATTTATGACATTTTGTGTATGCGTGTAAGGCTTGTTCTTATCGCGCGACATTCGTCTATTGCCTTAGCTGGCAGCGTACTAAATTAACATTATTCCGAGCAATAATTAAATGCTACGTTACACTGTGCTACAGAGTCAAGGCATGTTGCTTAAAAACTGCGAGCTTCAACAATTTATGTGTTATGTGTGCGTGTTTATCAGCAATATGTTATTCTTTTTTTTTTAACATTTTTTGAACTGTTATTTCTCAGCAAAATGTTTTTTTTTTCAAGTCTGCTGAAGCTATGTTAATTCCATTCACTTTCAATGCTAAGTTGAAACATTAAATGAGCTACGTTGGTTTTGAATTTTTGTATTATCAGCTGGTTTTTCTTGGGCAGACGTGACGTTATTATTTACTCTACTTGTAGCACCTGGCATTTAAATGACTATGATAGAGCACTTGTAAGGTGCTCTCAATTTAAATTGAGATGTTAGCTAATGGAATTATAGAAGCTCTAATGCTATAAGCGTTAATTATAGAAACACAAATTGTACCACTGTTTGATTGATGGCTTCAGAAATTATACGCACTTTAAATTTAATTAATATATATATCTAAAGACCTAATTATATACCCTGGATTGAGTCACTTTTTTGTACGTTTCGTTAAGTTCGTCCTGTTTTTAATAATAATAATAATAATAATAATAATAATAATAATAATAATAATAATAATAATAATAATAATAATAGTAATAATAGTAATAATTATAATATCAATAATAATAACCCTAAGCAATATGCTTTTGAGACTTGATCTTCTCGAATTACATCTCCTAAAAACTTCTCAAATGCTTAGCCAGCTTTGTTTAAAGTAAAGAACTAGCCCAGCACAGATTCGGCTTATATAACCTGTATGACTTATCACTCGAAAGCTTGGGCCCTGTTACACAGTGTAATAGCCGCAGCTGTTACTTCACAGCTGTTTTTCTATTTTTATTTTTATTTTTTTGCTGGTGTCGTTCGATTGCTATCGACTCTCGGACTTACCACATGCAACAGCTCAAGCGTAGACTCGTCGGTGCCGGGATCGGTGATCTTGCCCGAGATGACCGTCGAGTGTGTAAAGCACAAGATCAGCAAAGCCAATGCAATTAAGCCGCCCGTCATCGCTAGACAATGCCTCCTAGTGAAATGCGAACGCGGCATTTTGGTAGAGCCGCTTTATATGGCTTAGTCGCGGGTCTCGAACTTGGGTTGTTCTCCGTTTTATTGTGTGTGTAAATGTGTTTATTTGCTTCGCGCTAATAGCAGAGCGGGAACGTTGACGCGATTCGAACGGCCACAAACACACAAATCAGAAGACCAACAGACAACTCGATTCTTTTTTGATTTTTGCTGGCATTGTTTATTCGGTGCTTTTAATTATGCTCTTCATAAAACAGAAAACCAAAAAAAAAAAAAAAAATAATAAACTTGTTATTATTAATTTGCAAAGTCGTTATGGAACGAGTTTTTGGGGGCGCCTTTTCTTCCAACAGCATTTGAATATCTGTATTTCGGGCACGATATTTGTCTTCTTTCTGCTGTTATCATCAATACAAACAAACGCTCATTTCTATTTGACAAACCTTGTACTTTGAAATTAATGATGAGCCGCTTTATATGTTCAGTTTTTGACCGAGCTGATAAGCGAATAAGCGAACCGGATAACGGATAACGGATAGCTCAGCTGTTCCACGGAGCACTTATGCCGTACTGTCATATAAGTATATTTCGCGAACCAAACAAAAGCCCACAAAAAAATAAAGACGATATTCAGACCTCACAGAACCAGAACATATGTCTTTTATCGTTTCATTATCGCCAAATGCTTTCGTCCCCGTCTTCGCTTTTGACTATTATTACTTTTATTCTTATTATTGTTGTTGTTGTATGTCTATTGTGTGTTGCGTGGCTCGTAACTGATCGTACATTGAGCAGTCGCCACAACAATGCCTCCACATTTGAGGCGTTTTGAATCGCGGGCGCGACTTACATTAATATGGCGCGCACACAAACACACACACGCACACACTATAAAATACAGGCACATCCACACACACACACACGCACACACACTTTGGCGTCTGGCTAATTTATGCCCAAAGAAATTCGTCACCAGATTTTTCGGCAGCCGGCTGTAATAAATCTTAGCATTTTGGATTTGTTTACTTTGTTACTTTATCGAGCATATGTTAATTAATTTAGTATTATGCATGTTGTTGTTGTTGCTGTGTTTTGTATAAAATTGCGCCTCAATTTGACAAATTTAAATTTACATATTGTTTTTTATTGCTGCACGGAAGTTGTTGCCATCCTTTGATGGATTAAATATAATTTACATGATTCGCTTTTATGCATAAAATGTTCAAATGCCAACTGTTCGCTTTAAGAACATCTACAGTTTGTTTTATAAGTGCTGTAAGAAACCTTTTAGTAAACGTGTATTTAATTTGAAGGTGGGGCAGTTTGAGAAATATGTGAAATAAATAACTCCAGTTCATTAAGTTGATTGAATGATGCAGATAAAAGCTGCAGGCATACATGTGAATAATACCCAAAGATTTTGTTGTATTTTGAGAAATTAATTAAATGTCTTTAGCTTTAGGTGCTTAAATTCTCTTTGAATAATCCCTATGCACATGGCTTTTAACTTAACTCTGGCTGAGCTAGTCAGTTAGATATTCAAATGAAGTATTATCCTTAATGAAGCCGTTTTCATAGCTGCATTTTTTGACCTATTCTTGTATTCAATTAAAAATGTCTAATTGTGATGACAACTTTTAATATATATACCTATTTATGCAGCACAAAACCTTCTGCTGTTAGTTAATTAACGTAAAGCGACATTCTTGAAATTAATCGTAATTATTTTAATATTTATTTTCATTTGCGCATCAGATATCAATTTTATAAATTGTTCTCAATTAAAAGTTTCTAATTGCGCTGCCAAGCTATAATATATATACTTAATTTTGCAGCTCAAAAACTTCTATTTATTTTCATTTGCGCATCAGATATTGAAGTTATATTTTGCTTTTTACAATAGTAAAATATGATTTTAGAAGACACGATTATTGATGGTGATTCCTGTTAATAACAGGTTGCACCTTTATCTATTAACTGTAGATAAAAAACGATTTTTATGCTTTGAACAGGTAAAATTAATAAAGCATTTGGATGGCAATTGACATAAGCAAACCAATAAATAGGCAAACTCTACCGATTTTAGTGTTTTATCATATTTTTCAAATATTCGGATTCAAAAAGCATATTCTATGATAAAACTTATCGAGCTGCCTTCTGACAAGTGAAGGTAATAAAACACGCACATTAACTCCCAGCCTGAGCTAGTCCATTCGAGTAGCGTGCAAATCAATCAAACAGCAATCAGACGGATGCGAATACATATTTTTATATAGCTATCAGAAGCCTCTTATATAAACACTTCATATTAAAACTTTACATAGTTAATACTGCTGAATGAAACTTAGTACCTCTCATTTGTGATAGCTGATGCGGGTGCCGTCGCCAGTGCCCCGGGCAAGGCACAGCTGCTCATATGGTGCGTCGGGCAGAACATCCATTGTTAGCTCCAGTAGCTTTGCTATGGGACACTGCTCGTCGCAGCCGGGCACCTGGAGCAGTTGCGGCGGTTGGTTGGGATCATTTTGGAAATAGATCTCCACGAAGTAGTCATCACTATCGTTGCGTCTATGCAGCTCAATGGCTATGAGGGCCGAGAAACGGGGCATCTGATTCGGCCAAACGTTTAGGGCGCTTAGCACATTCGATATGCTCCAGTCGTGTGCACAGGATATGTACATTTTTCTACCAGCTGGTTCCAGTTTGCCAGCTATCTTTGACTGCATATGGTTGTACATGTCAGCCAGATAGAAACCACCTTTGATTTTGCGCAGCTCCGGCGTGTACGCATCGTAGACATACGATTTCGCAGCCAGTGGTCGCATTTTGTCTGGAAAGTATTCCTTTGTCCACTTTGGCAGCTCCAGGCCGTAGGCCTGCTCCGCCAGTAGCGAAATGAACACATTGGTCACATCGTGCGCATAGCTTACATTGAGGCCCGTCAATTCAGTTAGCTGTTGCAGCATGGCCGAGTTCTCCTCATGCAGTGCAACCACCTCCGGCAAATGCATCACCTCCCACACGGCCTCCTCGTAGCGGGGGCAGGGCACCTTCTGACGCAGACGCTGCGCTTAGATTAATTTTAATATTTATTAATTGGCTGCCTTTGACGAGAACCATTTGCTGCAACTTTACCGTGTCGGTATCTTCGGGCTCTGTGTAGATTGGTATTGGCTGCCAGTTCAGCATCATATCCCATTCCATGGGCGTATTCTCTGGCGGAAACAGACCTGCCAGCACCATCTGCAGCGACATTAGGGTGCGTGATGACTCCGTGGCTTCAGCGTGAAGCATCTGAAGTAAGTACATCGATTAGCTATTACTCCTACCATGATCACACTTTTAGACTCACATCCGGTTGATAGTAGGGCACAAGAAATTTTTTGTAACGCTTGCGCAACTGTTTTCCTATTTTGTAGAGCTCCACCTTTGCTGCCTATTGGACATTAATATACTTATAATTGCAATGTAATTGTAACTTTATTAAGTTATTTAGCTCACATTGGTCAGTTGTCCCCAGCCATAAGGCTCGTAAGTTTCGTTCAAGTGCGGATCCTTCGGGTATGTGTTGACGGGGGTACGCGGGCCATGACGAAATAGCTGTGAAAATGGGGTATGTTTTCGTATATTCACTTGGAACTCACTTCTTATGTTCAAATATTGTTTATAGTAGTTTGTTAGCTTTCAATACACCAATTTTTGCCTAGTCAACCATGTCAATACTTGTGCTTTGTCTTAGGTTTTTAATAACTGCATTAACTAAACCGTCAAGAACACAAATCCGATTTAAGTAAAATACCCTTTACGATTTAATTTTGTAAATCTGTATAATGAACAGGTGTCAAGCATAATTAATATGTAGATTGAAGAGCAAGCACTTTGAAGACTCAATCTCTTGTCACATAATATCCATAGCTGTCTTAGCACATTAAATTAAATATTTGGACAGGGTATTTTGAAGTCAAAATATATCGAGAATTCGTACTTGATTTAGTATCTCATAAATAAAATTTCCTTATGAAGTTGCATGTTGCAATCCAATTAGGAATATATTAAAGTAATTAGGTTTGCACATACATTTTAGTACTTGCCCAACAAACCGGTTGGTTCGCTTTAATTAATGTTAATGCTACTTGGCGATGTATTAAGTATACGCCATGTGGCACAAACTGGTCTTGGCGTAAAACGTAAGAGATTTTATTTTAAATTATTAACACGTAGAAATATATATATGTATATATGTATATATTTAAACATTTTAATAATTGAATTCAGCTGCCATTACGAGTTCTTAGAGTGCGAAAAGAAATACGTTTCAAGCTAGCATGATAGTTCTCGGCTGCTACGAAATTTAAGTGCGTTTATTAGTGCCTCTTTATGGTTTAATTATAGAGATTAAGCAGTTCATAAAAGTGGAAAGCACATTTTATAATTTTATGGTCTAGCGTCTGCTTTGAGTTGCTATCTAAATGAATTATTTTGGCACTTTAAGTGCAAACAATATTTGCATTGGCTCTACACAACCATATCACATATCACATTCATTTGTATAGTATATCGCACAAACAGAGTGAAAGCAATTATAAGACTTGACATTTATTTACCACATGCACAAGCTCCAGCGTTGAGTTTGTATTGGACAGCTCCTGTTTATCCTCATCCTGTGGCTCCTTTACGGGCACAATAGCTGCTTCCACGAGCAGCAGGGAACTCAGGCAGAGCAACAGACCAGGAAAATGCTTGGCCCTCATCATATAGATTTTTTTTGTTATATATATTTTTATAGAGTTTTATTTTAAAAGCGTGCTTCCAGCTACGTTGAGACTCACGCGTCTAGTGACTGCACAAATAGAAGCCGAGCGGCTTTTAAGTCGCGATTATGTAGAACAAAATCGAGAGAATCGAGAATATGTTTGCAAAGATAGCGAACAGTGTGAGAGATGACGTTGCTCGAATCGCAAAAGCAAACAATTTGCAAAGAGCCGCTGCACAATAAAAACCTTTAATAACACACGAAATTAACTATAATCAACTTGAGTGCTCAACACAATAAACAAATTTACCCAAAAAAAATAAAATAAACAAACACAATTAACTTTTGGGGTACTTTTGTTTATTTTTAGTTTATTTTAATTTTTTTTCCCGCTGATTTCATGACCTGCTGTCATCGTCTAATACTGAGTTCTGTGTGCCTTACAGTGATATTTCAATAAGTTATTGCTGATCGATTGGACGCGGCGGTGGTTCCACAAAATCAGCGTTACGGGCACGACAACGCTGCTCCACGGGGTCATTGGGTAGCACCGATTCGCTCAGCTCGACGAGGCGATTCAGTGGACACTGCAACTCGCAGTCGTCTAGTTTCAGCTGCTCCAGGCAGCCAAATTCATCGTTGCGCAGAAAGATCTACAAAGAGTTTAGGACTTGTAAAACTGCAAGCTGCAAAGGGTTTTTTCCAGAAATTCCATTACCTCCACATAGTGTTCCCCTGTCTCGCGATGTTTGTGCGTTTCGAAGATGGCCATGATAGCAAAGCGCGGCATCTGGCGCTTCCAAACGCCAAGCGCGGATAGTATGTTGCCGACGGTCCAATCGTGCCCCGTGTAGATGAACATGCCGCGCTCTTTGGGCTTCAATGTGCCCGCCTGTTTCGCCAGCATCTCATCGTACATTTTGCGCAAAAAGGGGCCACCTTTGATCTTCTGCATCTCGGGCGTATACGCATTGTACACATAGCTCTGTTCGGCAAGGAATTGCATGCGCTCGGGAAAGTAATCCTTCGCCCAGTCGGGCAGCTTGTAGCCAAACTCCTGTTCGGCCAGTAGAGTTATGTACAGCGAGTTGACATCCTCCGCATTGCGCATAGGCATGCCTGTCAGATTGCTCAGCTCTCTGAGCATATCCGCGTAGGGCTCCTGTTGAGCGATTACCTCTGGTAGGGCGAAGACCTCGTCGCGCGCCTCGAAGTAACGCGGGCAGGGCGTTCGCACCAACAACAGCTGTTAATATTCAACTTATGTATTATTATCCTGCACAATACGCACATATATATATATATATATATGTTTTTCCATTCCTACCGAATCTTGATCCAGTGGCTCAGACACAATGGGTATGGGCTGCCAGTTGAGCTGCTTGTTCCATTCCATGACGGTGCCGCGTGGCTCAAACATGCTGGCCAGTGTAGTTTGCAGCGACATCAGCGCTCGAGGCGAGGCCGTAGCTTGGGCATGAAGTCGCTATACATATACGTATATATTTACATATGATTTTCATATATAGACAGACATCCAAGTTTAACTTACATCGGGTCTGTAAAAAGGTCCCATAAATTCTCCATAGCGTCGATGCAGCCAGCGGCCCATCTCGAAGAGCTCCTTTTTGCCACGCTGCACAACAAAGTTTAATGGTTTGTTTTTAATTTCAATTTTTCCTTTCACTTTTAGATTTTCCAAACAATATGATTTAATTTTAGAAAGTCTAGCTTGGATTACTTAATGATTTTTTTAATTTGGTAAATTAACTTTTATATGCTTCGAATAAAATAAGTTTAGCGAGAATTTTTAAACCCAGTTCTAGTTTTTTACAACTGTGATTTAATCCAAATTTGTAGGGTTAAATAAATTTTCTAAATTACCAAATTAATCGAAAATGCATTAAGTTATGTATATATATATAAAACCAAATCAAATTCCTTCAAAAATGCGTATAGATTGTAAGGAGATTTGTTGTATCCCATGTTTGGTGCTATTCGAAGTATTTGTACAACTCACATTCGTCACATGCCCCCAGCCGGTGGGCTTAAAACTGTCCTTGATATAAGGATCTTTTGGAAAGGTGTCGACGGGCGTGCGTATGCCGTGTCTAAAGACAATGTGCACCAGTTCCAGCGTTGAGTTTGTTGTATTCGGACGCGTTTTGTAGCACTTGTTTAATTGCCTGTTCACTTGCGCCCAAGGCGGCTGCTTGCCCTCCGCTTGACTGTTAAACACACAGATTGCCACAATTGCCAAGACAACGCCAGCGGCCAGCGCACTCATTGTGAGTATTTGTTTTCGCGTGCAGCGACCGAATATCATTTTTGATGCAGTTGTTTCTTATATAGCCAGCGACTCCGTTGAAAGCGGAAGTGAATTGAAGGCGCGACGACACAGGTCGTAAGTATCGATAAAACGTGATTTGAACAGATTTGGGAATTCGCGAGATTCGGTATCGGAGCACTGAGATACACTCGCAATTCAATTAACTCGCAATGGAGTTGTCAACGGGATTGTGCGTCTGGCGCGTGCTGTTGCTAGCGCGGCTGACACTCAAATAAAACCTAGACAAGTGGATGCGGAGAACTTAAAACTAAAAACGAGATAAATCAACCGTTCGTTTGGCATTGTTATTGTTGCGTCAGTTGTTCGAGAGGTTGACGTGCGCTGACTAACCCGACTAACTGTAACAACTAGTATCTGTAACTATTCCAGTGAACTATCGGGCTTAAAACTGAGCCAATTAATTGGTTATTTCACTGAACCATGCAATTATATTAGTTGCGGGTCTATGCCTCAGATATCCGCCCTGGAAAACTCAATTCCCACGTCTATTTATAGCCATGTCACTGTGACGCCCCTCTCCCTGGCCAGTTTTGGCATTTCAATTTTTGCCAGAAATCTTTAATTTTAGTTTTGCACACACACTGAAATTTAATAGCTTTCGCACACACCGATTTTTATTTTTTTTATCTGGTTTGCTCTGCACTGGCGGCACAGAGTTGATTGTTTGATGATGAGAAGATTTTTTGTTAGCATTTGAATGCAAATTAATATAATGAGGACTCAAAACAATCGGGCATATTCAATCTGATGCTGGAAAACTAATTACATGCCAATTATTATTGTTCATTAGCATGAATTATAATGGTATTAAAATTCAGCAGGTGGGAGTTAGTTTCTTTAATGCAGTCAAGTTTGTAAAATGCATATAAGCTTGACTTAAATTTATGTTTTAATATGAAGTAGTGTTATTTGATTTCTTTAAATTATTATAAATCAATAAAATATGTGCAAAAATGATATCTCAGTTTCCAGTAGCACTCTGTGCTCTTCAATACAATATCTTAACCATAGGTAATCATAAATAAAAAATACTCTTAGTTTTGATTAAAGTTCATCAAAGAAATGAAGATACTTCAGAGTCGGAATCGGCTATATGCATATTAAATATTTTATATTAAATGGGTTCGGTTATCATCTCTCAAACAACGGTAAACAAATTTATTTTAAGAGGGTATAAAAATCGTATATGTGAATTCTTTATTTTCACTTACCCACATTGCTGCGTTAACTCATATTTCGTGGAAGGGTATAAATTCCCCAGCAAAATAAAGGCGTTATTTTTGCACAAATTATTTGGATTTCCACAATGTTGTTTTACTCTTATTGACACTGGAGCTTTTGTCATAATTATCTGGGTGTTGGTTTATGCACTGTTTAAACAAGTTGTTTGGCTTTTTTGTGGTCGCTATAACAAGCAGACAGATAGACGAAGCAAAGAGTGATATACAAGGTATATGTATCTAGATAATTGCGCTTAACGCGCGTATTATTAGACATAAGGTATTTTGCTTAGAACATTTAGTGTCTTGTTTTTTAGATGTCTTTGTTGCTTGATTGGCAACAGTTCATTGTCGAGGGGCTTAAGAATGTTCTCTAATTGCCCAAACACTCCCTCGTCTATGGCTGCTGTTGCCTTTTAGAGGTTAATTAGTAGCACCGCTAGAATTCGTCCACCTCAATGCCTTTATAGAACTTCCGAAATATGCAATTAGCTGTTGAAAGAAAAAAAAAAATGTGCTGAATAACTTAAATTGGTGACAGACAGCGACAGCTCATGACTGGTGTCTATAGACTTGAACTTTTGTCTGGTTTTTAGCTGTCAGCATTTAGTTTACTTCGTTTGATAATTGTCAGCATACCTGCATATACATAGTTTACAGCATACACATATAAATCGACAGCAGCAAACGGATCAGATCGGAACGGATTGGAACAATACAGAACAGATCACTATATCAACTAAAGTCAACGCAATTGACATTTGAATTGCATCAGCTAAAACAGGCGATTAGAATTAATAAAATAGCGAAATTTGACGGCCTTGCAGCAAAACGGAAGATCTTTGAAACTAGATTCGTAGTGGAATTATTCATTTTTTGCTCAGCTAATGATGTATTTGAGACATTCACGAAGTTTGACAAGTTGTCACTTTTAAGCCAATTAAAATCGAAATGTTCAAGTTAAGGAAAAGTAGTTTTCTTATCTATGCAAAGCAGCACTTAATAAGTACGTTCACTATAAATAAGGATATGTTTAACGTATAGAAAAAAAAAGATTTAAAATAATTCATTATTTTAAATAAATAGTTATTAATATGAATAAATACATAATAATGTTATAATGTTGATAATAATCTTGATATGAAATAAATACAAATCTAACAGAATAATTTTAATTTTAGGTCTATTAATTACCTTTAAAATCTTTGTAATCTCTGCTCGGGCTCATTCATCGCTAATATAAAAATCAAATTTTTTTTGAAGAATTCACGACTTTTATCATTTCCCCTTCCTTGAGCGACAATTGGCTTCTCTTTTGTATTTTATTTTTGAATTTCTAACAATCGATTGTCACACCAATTGAACTTTAATCGCTGTGACTTTTGTCATTGCTTTATCGTTTAGGCGACAACACATAGCAGTCAAACCCCGAAACTCGTCCCTAAAATGTCCCTCTGGCCAAAAGGATACAAAAAAAAAACCTTGACCAGGGGTTGCTAGTTGGGGGCAAAAACCCAATATGCCGGCTTGAATCGCGCTTTGTCTCATTGAATAGCCCGCGCCACGCCCCCTTTATAGACCAGTTCCGTGTATGGGAGTTTAACTGCGCGCATTCGAATTTTTATGCGCGTCTGTTAGAATTTTCAGCTATTTCAGCGAAAAGGCACGAACGAACAAAAAAATAAAAAAACAAAAATGAAACACAGGAACTGGCGAAAAATTTGTCGTACAAATCTTTGAAATGGCTCCGCTGAGAACTATTTCAATGCGTCGAATCAATAAATTTTGGCCCGGCAATCGCATCGCTTTGTCTGACAATTTGGCTGGCATGTTTTTTGGCGCTTCTGACTGCAAAGAGCCATTGCCTCAGTCAATAGTTTGTCTGCCCTAATCGTAATTGCATGGCTGATAAATATTAATGTCATGTGCGAAGATCCTGCGCCCGATGCTGCTTCCTGACTGACTGTTTGCCTAACGTTTATCCATATACCCTTTTTATAGATACAGCAAATGGATCAAGCTAACATCGACTCTTACTCAGCCTCCATGGCCAAGTCCAAGTTCTGTCTTTCTGCTGGGTAGATTCTTATGTACCGCATTCCTTTCAAGTGAATTCCCATATATAATGAACATTTATTTAATGATGTTGTATATAGAGTATCTATTAGTCGAACTCACCGCGCTAGTGTGCATTTTATGGGAACTTAGCACGTGGTCAGCCTACTTAGCTCACTCGATTGAGTTTCGAATACCAAAAGCAAATACTACGAACATGTTTGCGAAAATAATTTTATTTTTTTGTTTTTTGCAACGGCTACAAATGGCGCAGTCCCCTCAATTAAAGTGAAAGTCATTTTGCAATATTATTAGACGAGCGGCCCTAAGAACTGATAAGAAGACGGCAACAAAGTTGAACACGCGCTTCGAGAGCTCTTGCTCTGAGAGAGAGAGAGAGAGACAGAGAAGGAGAAAGGGATTGGATAAGAGTGGCTTATAAACACTATGCAATAGCATATTACCGAAATAGATTTAAGGTCCCAAATAAAAAATGATTTTTCTAAATTTGTATTCTTAATTATGTTGCCATAATCATAACAAAGCTTAACTGATTTCAAAAAGCTTTACATCAATATGAGGCAAATAGATATATCCACAATTAAGTTCAACAATTTTTAATAATTGGCATTTGTTCACCAAACATTGACCCAAAATATTATCAATAATTCGATTAAAAATATTTTGGCTACCTTTATAAATTGTTAATGTTACCAAAATCTTTGGTAAGGTGCTTATATATGTATATATGACAAATATATGACTGTATAAATAGAATTGATTGAACATTGTAATCGTGCAAGCTATATCCAAAGGTTATTTGAAATAAATCGTTATGATTTATAGTCCGGGAGTTTTGCAATTTAGAATCTCGTTCTGTAGCAAATCTGAATCTGGGCAATCTTTATATGCTGGCTAATTGTTTATTAATGAGCTGGTTTAACTTTTTGAAGCCGTTTAATCGCGCTCGCATCATGTGCTTTACAGAAAATTACAACCAAATTATACACATAATTAAGCTTTAATGCGTAATTGCCCTAGCCATGCCCTCAGCAAAACGCCCATCCCAATGTAACACATCAATGCAAAGTAAAATTGTGTGTAAAAAATGTGATAATTAACTTAAGTCCTCTGGGAATTGGCGAACGGGTTGTTGCCAGTAACTCCTGGCTGTTTAAATGCCTTACATACAAATGTACACACACACACACATATATATAAATATATATATATATATATATTCACCGTTGAGTGGCTGTGCTTTTATGTGTGTTGGTGCTTACAAGCATAAATGCGAATACATAAACTCATTGTCAGTTAATTATGTAAAATTCCGAGGCGTATATTTTCATTAAAAAAAAACAACAACTTTTTTATATACATAAAGGACTTTCCATTCATTCCAGGTACACACGCGCACAGGTTTTCAACCGACTCATTTACATTCTTCTACAAACAAATATGTTGGAGTGCATTAGAGATGAGTGCAAAATAATAATTAGAAACATTACTAATGACAACACAGGACATTACTTTTCTTTTTTTGCTCAATTCCATATTAACTTCTTAAAGATTCAATTTGAAATTTATAGAGCTTAGATGAGAAGAGTTATTTAGAGCTGATTGGAAGATAACTTATTGAAAATTCTTTCATAAATTGGAATTTATATCAACAAAATAACCAAAATAAAATAATAAATAATAATGAAATAAACCTCTATGATATAGCTAAAATAATAATACTAATAATAATGGTAATGATAATAATAATCATAATTATGAAAATGATGGTAACAGTAATGACTGTAATAGTAACGATTATAAAAGTAATAAATATAGAGTTCTTAAATAACATAGAGTACTAAATTTCTCGCTAAGGACAAGTGATATGTTTTGTGATGTCACGAGCGCATCACTAATTTGTCAGCCACATTGTCACAATATTTTGCTGTGGTGCTGTTGTTGTTGTTGCTTTTGTGGTTTTATAAATTTAAATGATGTTTACCCACAGCAACTGAGCAGGTGTCTGTCTCATTTAGGAGGTTTGAGGTTCGTTGGCCATGTGAGGGGTTTCGTTCGTCATTTCAACTTACACATTTGACTTTCTTCATTTGCTTTGTTAATGAGCGTCTCATAATGCATATCATTAAAAACAACAACAATAGACTCACACAAGCATGCATACGCACACACACACACACACACACACACTAACACACAGATGCGAACGGTGGCAATTAGTATTTCTCGTTAGGCAAAGGTTTTTCCTTCCTGTTTTCGCCATCTTCCGTTTTGGATGCATGACAGTTGCTCTCGGTGCTAATCCTTTATAAATAATGCATTAAATGTTGCTTGTGAAGGGTGAGTGAGATTCAGAGAGAAAGCAGCTGGGAGCGCATTTTACAAGCGCTTTCGCTTGTCCCGTCGAAAGTCAGGCCAACGAGCCAGATCCTGAGCTGAGCTCCATTTAATTCAATTTGCATAAAGTGCTTGGCATTTTATTAACCCACTAAACGTAATTTAGTGCCCGGCCAGAAACCTGAGTCCGGCCCGAGCCACACGCTTCAATTGCCCCGCTGATGAAGTGCCGGCCAACCGAGCCAAGTCGCCGCCATTGTGGCCCCGTCTTGGCCCCTATCCCTAGGGCTAATGCCGGCCCCAATTATTGAAAGTCCGCAGCGCAGCTTTTGTTGATTTTACCGACCTTGTGCCTAGTCGACCGTTAAGTGGAGCATTTGTGGGCAGCTTAGCAACGGTTCCGCAGCCGCAGCCGCAGCACTTGGCCCTTAGCGCTCGCCGTGTTCGCTGTTGCATTTTAGCCAAGATTTTTATTTGGCATTTATGCAAAATCGAGTCAAGTGTTTCTCGGCCACTTGAGCTGGCTAAAAGAGGCTGGGCTAAGCATACCAAATGGCTCAATATGCCCATTAATAAAATACTATAATGCTCGAGCTGCTTGTTACCTGTCCAGAGACCCACGCTACATTTTAGGCGAGGGCTAAACTAAATAGCTAACCATGTAATACTACACGTCCTTTTGTGAGAGTATCTTAAGTATCTAGACTATATCACCAATTTTAATAAAACTTATATTTTTTTATAGATTTGCTGGCCCATTTAACAACATGAATTATTAAAACTTTTGTTTAGCTTAGGTTTCTTTAAATTTTTACAAATTTAAGCACCTGATATACTTTTATATACTTTGCGAAATATATCATATACTACGTTTATAAAGAAACTATTTATAAATACAAATTGTTTGCAAGTAATTCAATCAGTATTTAAATTTACACGTTACGTTTCAATTGAGAAATTCGTTGTGGTCTACAAGGGAAAACAAAGTACCAAAGTAGGCCGTTTCACACTGTTTGCAACAATTCTCACTCGTCATAACTCGTTTCCGTGACAAATTATTAACCACTATAATTAGTAATAAAATATATTAGCATATCCGACGTGTGTATAAACATGGTAACAATCTATGAAATATATAAGATATATATATATATATATATATGTAATCAAGAAAGTGCTTACTTACACTTCCCAAAGCTTAAATTTTCTCTTTAGATAAGGGGGAATATCTTATTCTTATTTAAGAGAAGTATACCTAAATTCAAAATAAAGATTCTCAAAAATATTACTTTTATCAGTTCTATGGGCATAGTCTTAGAAAATATGAAACTTTGGAGCCCTATCTGAATCGGAGAGTTATGACCATCAGAAACATGTGCTGTCTACTTTCCCTGTATGCAAAGCTACACTCTATATATCTCCTTTCGTCTCTTTACATCTATCAGCAGCTCTCTTACATATCCAAAATGAAGATTAATGCTCACATCAACACTAATTGGTAACCGCACATGTCTCTTGTGCGACCTGACCTGGCCCGTAGCTACACGCCCGGTCATGTAGCTGCCCCGTCACAGCCTCTGAATGATGCCGCAAATTATGTGCCCTTAGCCACAGTATATTTTCTTTTTTCATTTTGCTAAAAAGTAAAGCCTGCTCTTATGCTAGTCACCCATCAAATACTTGAAGCGCGAAATATAAAACATAAAATATGATTAAGACATACAAATCCCGAGACCCAAAAAAATCAAATAAAAGCAAAGGAAAGAATGAAAAAAATCAGAGAAATATAGCCAACGCAAGCATTTCAGACAGCCGACGAGCCCAAAAGAGGCTACACAAATTTGATATGATTGGTTTTTGGCTTGGCTTATGAATTCGGTTGCCCAGGCAAAGGGCTAACGAAGCAAAGAGATAGATGGGTGGGAGGGCTGCGTGTTGGGCAAATTTTGGCTGCAAAACTGACCGCTCATAAATTACAACAAGAGCTGCAACAACATGGCAATAATATCAACGTATTTTGGCCCATACACAAATGAGCAAATATCTAAAGCTATAAAACCATTTAGTCAGATGAGCGTGAAATTCGGCTTGTTTTTTTTTTGTGGTCATTTTGGGCTCGGCTTTAAACAAACGACAAGCGTTGAGGCCACAAATTTTGCAACAACTGTGCGGCGTTTTATGAGTGTGCCACGCCCACAGAATATAACACAAAACAGCAGCAAACAACACAAGAGCAGAAGAGCATCAGCAGCAGCAGTGGCCAGGCCACTTTTTGGGGGCAGCCTTAAATAACATTTAAATGTTGGCATAACACGTACCAGGCTAAGGGTAGGTGGCTTGGGTTGGGTTGCGACGCTAGTTTGGTTTAGTGGTTGAGTATCCAACATGAGGCAAGAAAGCAGGTTCTGCCACATCGGCTACAGTTTTTGGCGGTCTGGCTTGGCTTCTCTCGCCTGCGTTTTAAGCCCGTCCAGCTGCTGTCCTTGCCGGAACGCCAAACACGCCTGCCGTCTGATGCCTGCTGCCTGCTTATGACGGCAGCAGGAATTAAATTTCATTTAATGTGTCGACAGCGGCGAAAACTTTGCGCACACATGTGCTGGCAAACATTTTGATGATAACAAAAGCAGGTCAACACTTGCCCCATCCAAACCGAAGTCGAACCAAAAATTGCGCCCGTCAGGGCAATCGGGCTGCTGCTGCATGTTGTTGTGGCCGGCCTGCCAGGAAAATTATGATTATTTTGCACAATTAA